CGACATTTCTCTTTGTAACGAAAGATGCGTTTTATTTGGTATCTATTGACATCCAAAATTCGATGTTTTTAATTGATCTTCAATTATGTTTACTACATTGAAAATTGAAATAGCCGAAGAAGTTTTTTGGCGAATTTTAAACTTTAACTGGCTCTCCTGTAAAGTTATAAAAATGTCGCTTAAATAAAATGAAAGCCTATTTCTGCCGTGAAGCTGTAATGCGTTTCGATTTGAAGGGCGGGGCAGCCGTTGTAACTGTACTGAGACCTTAGAACTCATATCTCAAAGTGGGTGGCGCATTTACGTTAGAGATGTCCATGGACTCCAATAACCACTTGACACCAGGTGGGCTGTGAGCTCGTCCACCCATCTAAGCAATAAAAAAAATCTTCAATTAAGTTTACACCTTTCAAATAGCTAAAGAACTGTACTCGGACCTTAGAACTCATATCTCAAGGTGGGTGGCCCATTTACTTTGCAGATGTCTATGGGCTCCAGTAACTACTTAACACGAGGTGGACTGTCCACCTGTCTAACCGTAAGTAATAAAAAAAATTGCCTTTCATCCCCGATATGCTTATGCAAAATGCAGTTCTTCCTCCAGGAATACCGTAATGGAGGCTGAACTCTCGTTAGCTCTAACTACACTCGTCAATTAACTTCCTTGCCAAACTAAAGCAACCGAATAACAGCTGAGGGAGTCCGTATAGAGTCCCTTCTTGATTTCGCGGGAATAATTAATTAATTCCACGCTTTTTTACAATAAAATCATTTTTTCTTACACTATATTTATAATTCAAATTTACTAAAATTTATTTTCTATTTTTTAGTTGGATTTTCCATTAAAGCGTATTTTGTTAGTTTTTTTTAAACTATTATTTATATTTCATTTTTTAATTGAATTTCTATTTTTTTTTTAAAAATATTTAATATTGAATTGTCATCGGTCCGTAATAAGTACACAAAATTTCGAGTTAATCCGACGGGGTCAAAATCATGTCCAAAGATTCCGTTACAAACATACAATACGTCTGAAGCTAATAAAAGCATAATATTAAAAATAAAACGGGGCGTTCTTAATCGCCACACAGTTATGAAGTGAAATAAACCTCTGTTCACGTAATCCAATTATCGGTTAAAACATTCGGCTATGAACTGACATTGTTGAGTGTTTGCCGTATTGGAATGCTCACTCGTCCGTTGCGCGCTATTGCCTGTGGTTTTACGAAACTTATTTGTTAACGATCCATTGATGGCTATTGGTAAACCGTTGCGGCATCTCGACTTGTTTTTGTACGGTTTATGTTTTCAGTACCTACCGTTTTCTGGTTACGTAAGAACAAATTATATACGAAGATTTTCGTATCGGCAACTAATTAAATACTTGCACATGCTAAGAACTATCTATTGGTCTCTTAAAACTGTTTTTTTCGCGTGTGTCCTTAGCTATAGAACAAAATAAATCAGATGGATTTAATCTAATCTATACATATAAATAAAATTGGTGTGTCTGTTTGTAATATTGAAATACCCGCATTTTACTACATGCATATGAATATATATACGGTACATACACCAAAATAACATTTTTTACAATTTTTGTCTGTCTGTCTGTCTGTTTGTTCCGGCTAATCTCTGGAAGGGCTGGACGATTTTGATGAGACTTTCACTAATAGGTAGCTGATGATATAAGGAGTAACTTAGGCTTTTTTTAGACTAGCTTCGCCTCGCGGCGTCACCCGCGGTACGACATCGCGGGACTCACTATCAGCAGCAGCAGCTAATAAAATTTAATGTTTCCGAAGCGAAGTGAGGGCGAGTCGCTAGTATAGTATATTATATTCACGATTGACTTCCACGGTGAAGGAATAACATCGTGTAATAAAAATCAAACCCGCAAATTTTAATTTGCGTAATTACTGGTGGTAGGACCTCTTGTGAGTCCGCGGCGGTGGGTACCACAACCCCGCCCATTTCTGCCATAAAGCAGTAATGCGTTTCGGTTTGATGGGTGGGGCAGCCGTTGTAACTATACTTGGGACCTTAGAACTTATATCTCAAGGTGGGTGGCGCATTTACGTCGTAGATGTCTATGGGCTCCAGTAACCACTTAACAGCAGCAATAAAAAAAGTAATAAAAAAAAATTTATAGAGCGTTGCCAGAAAGAGAGGTAACAATTTAGAGAAGCTGCTGGTAACAGGCAAGGTATGGTAAAGAAGAAGACCCAGAGGCAGAAGTCAAAAGCGCTGGTCCGACCAGATACGCTCCGCTCTCAACACTTCAGTCCACGTTGCTATCCACACAGTCGTGGATAGGCAGGAGTGACGCGAGATAATCCAGGAGAAAGTTATTAGACAAGGCCACGACCTAGAGCATTAAGGATGCAGGAGGAGGATACTATAGCGTGTATAATCTTAGTGTGTATCGCCCTAAATTGATCGATTTTTTTTTATTGCCCTTGTAGGCAGACGAGCACACGGACCACCTGATGGTGAATGGTTACCGTCGCCCATGGACTTCAGCAATGCCAGGGGTAGAGCCAAGCCGCTGCCTACCGCTAAGCCGCTTGTTCAGTTGAACACCTTACTGCACCCACTGCTAGATCTTGGGAGCGTGTATGCATCGCTGAAGATATAAATTGAACCATTCGTGTGCGCTCACCACACATCCAACCACTAGTGAAGGTGCGTGTAATGACATGCATCCCATATGAGGAATGTGTAGACACATTGAATTATATTATAACGGTAACTGTATAAGGATATGTTGCAAAACGAAATTATTATGAATTGATTTTCGTGTCATCGCAACGTGTTTTAATGATGATTTAAATTTCTAAAAGCATTCGTATAATAGAATTATTCGGTATTTGTGAATTGTAGACATAATTAAAAAGAAATGAATTGTAGACATAATCTATATACATATTAATACGTGAAGCAAACACTTTGTATTCCTTTTTACGAAAATTGCGCGGACGGAGGAGTGTCAAATTTTCCACAATTATAGAGAATATAGAGAAGAAGTGCACAATACTAATATTTTTTTAAAATAATGCATAAAAGATACATTAAATCAATAAAGAAAACATTACACACACACTACAATGTATTTGATACACAAACATATACTCTTTGTTTATTGTCAAACTTTTGTTATTGCTTAAGTATTGTTTATCTTTACTATTACGAGTATTTGTCTATAGCGTAGTCTTAGCGAAATCTGTAACAATAGGACCATAATAATGTTGAAACTAATAATTTCAATTAATTATAGTCGAACTTCGACTACTACGGGGCCACTAGATAAAAAGAAATTTCTCTAATTTCGAATTTTCTATTGTCATTGTACTATATATAACGTTTCCAATACTTTAGAGTATCCGTGGTCAGACGGACGACCAAAGATTGCTTGGTATCTGTCGACGTTTGACTGTCATTCATCTTTCTATAAAAAAATATCTTTAAAACTAGTGACTCCTATTTAAACTAAACAAACGCGGGCCACCTTTCTTAAGTTGACGGTGCAAAGGCAGAAGCTTTTCCTGAACCATCAACAACAATACCAGTTCTCATCACAATCGGATCAAGATTCTTTAGAACCTACAGAACAATTTCCACTGATTTTCATTTAAATTATTCAGATTTCATATAACATCCTGATTGGATGTTAAAGTAAACTCTACCGCGTAAATAAATGCACAAAGAAAACGAAATGTATCCTCCGAAATATTATGCCCATTCGTTCAAAGTTGATGGTAAGAGTGTTAACTATGAATGTGGAAGGCTACAGAGAAAGGGGTAGACCTAAGAAGAAATGGCTGAATTGCGTGAAAGACGATATGTGTAAGAGGGGAGTGAGCGAAGAAATGGTATAGGTATGATAGAGGAGTATGGAAGGAGAAAACATATTGCGCCGACCCTAAGTGACTGGAAGAAGGGCAGGATAATGATGATAATGATGTTATGTAGTTAATATGATGCTTTGGAAAAATTTACAGTTAATTGTATTTTCGTCAATTTAACGCCCTTTCTGCACCGATGCCCGATGTGTGCCATCAAAAAAGTCATTTTATTTATTACGAAAATACCATAGTCGGAATTTACTTCGGATAGAATCGATTAGTTCTCGAACGAATTGATCCGTAAACATTGATGTTTGTCAACTTGCAAATTACTGTTATTAGTTTAAGCAATATTGAGGTAAATGAAAACTTTTATAATTGATTTTCTTACGAAGTTGGCCATACAAATTTATTTGCTGGAAAATGGAATTTTTACTAGCGTCTATCATTAAGTACGCTGTGCAAAACATGCTTAAAAGATATTATCGTGGATCAAGATCTAAGAGACTACAAAAATGAACCATATTAGAATTTGCGACAACACTCTATTCCGTATTACCTGTCATACTTAAGTCCTAACTACCATACTAAATACAGTGTTCACTTTTATTAGTTTCTTTTTATTGCCTATATGAGTGGATGAACTCGCGGCCCATCTGGAGTTAAGTGGTCACCGGAGTCCATAGACATCAAGAACGTAACCTACCTTGATTTATGAGTTCCTTTAATATTCCTATATGAGTTCCTTTAATGAAAATATTGTTAGGGTGATAGTATCTACCCTTGCATCCTTACAAGACACCGTACCACCAGTAGTATTAATTAGTATTCTGATAAAACTGTTATTTCGAAGCAACAGAAAGTTTTAACTCTGTCCATGGGCATTGAATACGCACCATACCGTCTATAGGATAACCGCTTACCAACTACTCGTAAAATAAAAGCTAATCTGCTTTTTTTTGCAATTAAACAAAAACGCGAATTGTAAAATCTGCACACGCTATCTCGGTGACCCTTTTAAGCCTAAAAATTGTACATCTCACAACTCGTAAAAGTTTAATTGTGTTTTACGAAACATTGGCGCGAAGTAGTGGTAGTATTTTAGCGCGCGCAACGATCTCCCCTCAACAGTAAGGCGCGGACGCGATGGCGTTCCGACGCTCACTGCCGTTTACTCAATCTAGTCATTCGAAATTCAAATTTTATATTTATTTTTTAATTTAACAAATAACCATGTGTAAATAGCTCTAATGCCTCGACTGACATGACAGTGATTAGTGTGTGACAAATAACAGTGACTCGACTTGAGTATGGCGTTGACTTGACTGTGCACTTGACTTGACTATGGATTTTACTTGACTTTGATTTTCTTTGATTTTTTGCCGTTCTGTAAATTATTAAATTGACAGGTAAGTGATTTTCTACTATGTTTTTTAAACAGCAAAATTTGGTTTTCTTTTTTTAGGAACGCATCATGATAATTACGCGTCAGGCTAATTAATTTACTTATTAGGGTAAAAAGTAATTTTAAGAAAATTAAATTCAAACAAATTTGTTAACAAGAAAATAACGTACTCAACCAAAATACAACGGCAACAAAAATAATATTGTAACTTCGAACTCCTGAAGTTTTGAGGTGGTTTGTGGGATTCATGTTGTCTATAACCACCACCACTATACCGGATTGACCGTGAACTCATCTGATAAATCGAGAAATAAAACCCCTGAATCAAATTCATATCGAGAATCTAGTTTCGAATATATTTATAATCTGTATAGAATATATAAATTATGTTGATATAATCAGCTCATGTGCAACGCAAGTAGGTAATAAAAATGAATATTAAGTAACTTATCATTCAAAAAATAATACTAATAATATATAAATAAGCCCCTTCGATAATACCTACAAAACAAAATTAATAACAATAGTACAATCACATTAGTACAATTTGTTAATTTTATATAATTTATAGGTAGCGACTTGGCTCTATCTCTGGCATTACTGACGACCATGAGCGACGGTAACCACTTATTATCAGGTGGGCCGTATGCTCGTCTGCCTGCAAAGACGATAAAAAAAGTACAGTTTCCGCCGTCGACTTTTTATATAGTCAGTCTCTGTGCTCTATTTTGAGCCTCTTGCTCGAACATCGACTCAGATACTTCCACAATTACTATTTCTTGTTGTAACTGATGAGCATTTCTTAACGATACCATCACCCGATCTTCACGTTACATGACTAAACCTCGGCCACGACCTGAGCACTCAGGTAAGGACTTTAAAACATATTATAATGTTAAGAAAGGGCTGAGTTATAGCTAATTTGTTATTGAATCTCTGTAATGATCCTCTCATACATATCTCTCTTTCTCGTTGAAATAATTCTTCAAAATAGAGCCATTGCTTGAGTAACGTTTTTTTAGAACCAGTTTTTTTTGCCGCTAATAAGGTAACACATAGCCCGTGCGTACCAATTTCCGCCTAATCTTTTATATGTTATACCGGCCCTTGTAGCTCTGCAAAATATCGTAGAACTTGGGCTCACTCAACATTCGCTCCAAGATAAAGATTTTATTTCTCCCTATAGCTCTCGACGCGGTAGTCATCTTCTTCGTTTAACTCAATTGCAAAGTGATAATATGAAACAATATTTTTTTAATAAAACTTACGAAATCGCGCTAAACTCATCGCTTACATTATTATGATTTAAGTTTCGTCTTTTTATTATTTATTAACTGACCCGGCAGACTTCGTAGTGCCTCAATCGATAAATAAAAGACCTAAACTTTTGTATAAAATAAACTTAAAACAAACAAAAGGAATCCGTCCGACGGGGCACATCAAAGGAAAAACAAAATTGTTATTTTTATTTAATTCTGAACATTTTTATATGTATCTACCTTGTAACCTTCTCTGGACTTCCACAAATAATTTAAGACTAAAATTAGCCAAATCGGTCCAGTCGTTCTTGAGTTTTAACGAGACAAACGAACAACAATTCATTTTTATATATACAGATTGACGTTTCATAATTATTATATTATAATAATCAAATTCCCTTACTATTACAATAAACAATTATTACAACCATTATGTGTTAATTACATATGTATTTCATATCAGACAATTCATAAACTATATGAGTAGTGTGCGAGGTTGGTGAGGTAATGAAATCGAAAGGAGAAAGTTTAATTTCTCTTTCGCTGGAGGTCGTTTGACGCGTCGCTGATGTCACATTCCGCTGAATTGAATCTAATTGAATAGAGTCATAAGTCATAATTGAGTGCACACGATTATACTTATGACAGACATTTAAAAACCAAACTTCAACAAAGTTAATCGCATTTATCTTTAGCAGTAGTACGACTAGTATATACCCGAGGCCTTACACCGTATACACCTTTATGAATTCGCATAGGTAGGAAACTGGATACTATACTGAACAAATACAACCAGAGATGCCTATAATAGACAATAGATTTATTAATTACTAGCGATCCGCCCTCGCTTCGCTTCGGAAACATTAAATTTTATTATTGATTGATAGGCGAAGCCCGCCAAGTTGCGCGCGGTACGACAATAACTGCGGGTGACGCCGCGGAGCGAAGCTAGTCTAAAAAAAGTAGCCTAAGTTACTCCTTATATCATCAGCTACCTATTAGTGAAAGTCTCATCAAAATCGGTCCAGCCGTTCCAGAGATTAGCCGGAACAAACAGACAGACAGACAAAAATTTAAAAAAAAAAATTTTTGTTGTATGTACCGTATATATGTTTATATGCATGTAGTAAAAAGCGATTATTTCAATATTACAAACAGACACTCTAATTTTATTTATGTGTATAGATAGCCGAGTCCCGCGATGTTACCCGCGGGTGACGTCGCGGGGCGAAGCTTGTCAAAAAAAAAGTAGCTTAAATTACTCCTTATATCATCAGCTACCTATCAGTGAAAGTCCCGTCAAAATCGGTCCAGCCATTCCAGAGATTAACCGGAACAAACGGACAGACAGACAAAATTTAAAATAAATGCTATTTTGGTATATGTACTGTGTATACATACTTACGCATTTAGTAAAAAGTGGTTATTTTATTATTACAAACAGACACTGCAATTTTATCTAATTGTATAGATGAGTCATAAAATTATTTTCGTTGCAATTCTTAGACTTTACAGTCGTTTACAGATCCTTTCAATTTGCTTTTATTCATACATAATAATGAAGTAGTGATTGATTTTAGTTATTTTTAAGGCATGGCGTGAAGCAGTAATGCGTTTCGCTTTGAAGAGTGGAGCAGCCATTGTAGCCATACTGAGACCTTAAAACTTATATCTCAAGGTGGGTGGCGCATTTACGTTGTAGATGTCTATGGGCCAGTAACCACTTAACACCAGGTGGGTTGTGAGCTCGTCCATCCATCTAAGCAATAAAAAAAAAGAGTACCCCATGTGTTGAATTGCCCCCAACGTATACGCATATTACTGCCTAGCCACAGCCATGCCAACTTTCGTTCCACATTAAGCATTAACGGATGTAGACTTTCTACAATATCGAGCGTAAAATAAATACGTTATCATAACAAGTTTCTAAGATTACGTAAACATGTTTACTTTCCCTTGAACTTTTACGATCGTACGCAGCCTTGAGTTCCGATATAATTTATTGTCGATTCGCATTAATTCGGTAAAATCGAACACGTTTCAATCTAAAATTAAATTAGCGGTCGTATATTCGGTTTTGGCGGTTATATTGTAAGCTATATGGTGTTCGGCTGTTTCTTTTAATTATATGCGACGGCGCCGCGGCGGTGTGTTGTGGGTTTTATATCTTTAAGTATAGTGTGTTTAAAAGTATATAAGTATATATGTGAGAGTCTCTGGTTCCTACAGAACAGGGAATCATAGTTCAGGGGTCAAAGAGCCGTGTGTAATTTGCTGTCAATTGTTTCATAATGATCTAAATATACTTATATGCTACTACATACATGGTGTGGAGCTGTAAAACTTTATCTAATTTAATTGTATTTTCTTGCATTTCACGATTTGTAAACATAATTTACGGTTTTGTCTCGTGTTTATTTTTTCATCATCATCATTCATTCTTCTGCCCTTCTCCCAGTCACCTGGGTTTGACGCAACATGTTTTCTCCTTCCATACTCTTCTATCATTCTTCGCTCACTCCCTCTTACCCCTATCGTCTTTCACGCAATCCATCCATTTCTTCTTAGGTCTACCTCTTCCTCTACATCCATCCACATTCATAGTTAGCACAGTCTTACCAACCTCATTTTCATTTCGTCTCATCATATGTCCATACCAAATATTTACTATTAAATTTATTATTAATTATTACAACGTATAATTACGTTTCGAAGAGTTTTTATGGTCGCGGACTACTCAGATGTTATTCGTAGATATTCCAATAATAGATTTCTTACGGTTTTATAGAAATTTAGATATTGGCTTTACGTATACCGTTTTACACCGTAACATTACAGTTTTGCGGCAGATACAGATAGAATAATGGGATTGACCCGTGTGGATTGACGCGATCTTACTAGCAGGAAAGCAAATTTTGTGATAATTGCTTACATGATTTTGAATGGCGCACGTGAGCTCATATTAGGCACATATAATATTTAGAAAACTTTATTCGTGTCCCATGGATGAAACACAATAAATCGGCTCTCAAACCGATTAGAACCCACTTCGAATGATCATCATTATCATTCTGTAAAATGTTCCATACTCGTTATTCCATCCGTTTTCATATTACCAGCGTGTTAACATCACCTCTACCTTACAGTGGTGGCGATGGGTCTGGGCTCCAAGGTCGTACGGAAGAAGCACAGTTCCCAGCAGCAAGCTCATTACGGCAGTCCCCTCTCATGCAGCACTGCCCTCTGAGAGCTCCCAAATGTCCTCCAGCGTCAAAAAGGTACGTTGAAATAACTAGCAATAGTAAAAAACTGACAACGAGCCTAGAGTCTTCAAAACATTTTTTTGAAACACTAAAATTATGTTGTCGATACTACATGAACGCATTTTCTTAATTAAATTTATTTCATCTATATTAATATATAAATCTACAGTGGTTTTCACGGATGTTCCGTTATAACTAGTAAACCGTGCATCCGATTGACTTGAAACTTGGTATCCATGTAGAAAATACATGTACTTAATGGATAGGTTAATATTTATATGAGTGTTGGACGCCCTAATAATAATGCCAGTAAAATTAAATAATAATGTTAATTTTAAATGCCCAGCTAAGCGGGCGAGTACGGCTAGTTATTAATAAAGGTGAAATTCTGGAGAATAATATTATTCAACGAAATTACCATTTTAATTATTAATAAAGTATATCACCGGCCACTAACAAATTTATCGGAAATGATGAATCGCTGAACAATCCAGAATCTACGGTAATCACCGCTCATTTATCCTCAATATCACAACCTATAAATGACTTAGACATCGTCAAAACGGACCCGAAGCGTTACATTTTTAATAAAATAGTAAGCATTAAAGAAGCCGTAATCTGGTAGCTCTTCGTGTAATGGATGCCGATAGCACATATAGGACAAAGCTAAATTTACCCAGACTTCGAATAGACTACTGCAAATTAGTCTTATCTTCCTTATTTTATAAGTCCCAGTAGATAAAATTTTATGGCTAATGGAGGAATGACAAATCCTTGTCTAGATACCGTACCCATGATGGGACTTGTAACAACTTCAACCGCCCACGTTGGGGTTCCACCATGAGTCCAGTCCAGAGGTTTCTCCGACCTTCCTACGCTGATGACCTTCAAGCTCCAAGAAGGTCTGTCACCGGAGCTAGACTACCATCAGCTAGAGAAATCAGCTCTTTCATCCACCAGAGTGAGAATGTAGAAAATCCTGGTGTCACACATCTTCTGATGCAGTGGGGACAGTTCTTGGACCATGACGTGACCTCTTCTTCGCAGTCTAGAGGGTTTAACGGCTCTGTGCCGAGATGCTGCAAGGATGGTGGGAAAGACTTCATTCCGAGAGAATTTTTGGTAAGATGTTATTCGTATAGAGCAAAAACATAAAAACTAAAAAAAGGAAAACAAATTCATCGTATAATTTTATATTTAACAGCACCCTGAATGCTTTCCCATTCCGGTACCGCCGTCCGACCCGTTCTATGGCCCCAAAGGTGTCAGATGCCTGGACTTCATCAGGTCCACGCCGGCCCCGCGTGCCGACTGCGCGTTAGGCTGGAGGGAACAGATGAACCAAGTGTCTGCCTTCATTGACGGTTCGCCTCTATACGGTAGCTCAGCGAGACAGTCTGATAATCTCAGATTGTTTAGGAATGGTAAGTGTAGACTTAGATTATGGTAATGTAAGCAAATTTCGCCCGTGTCACTAATATTAATTATTGATTAGCTACCAACCCTGAACATACTTGATACTTCACGTTGTCGCGACTTCCAGAATAACTGAAGACACCTAACTTCTCGCAAGAGGTATAGGTGATAAATGATGATGTAATGACTGACGGTAAGACATGCATTGAGTTGTTGAAAGCTGAGAGTATATGACGCACTTCCCAGTGAGTGGTCACCAGTGATTTCCGCAAGGCCAGGGCACGACTAAGGCACTGCTTGAATATGAGATAGCATGAGCTCAAGAAACTCTGGAGGGGAGTTCACTCGAGAACTGTGTTGGTGTTATAAAATATCTCTGGAAACGCACTTTAGATCAGCTTAACCTTACTACAGAAGGCTCAGGTAGGAAGAACTCCACTTCACTGGCAAAACGGTCATGACGAGATAATCGCAAATCATTTCACAAAAAGCCATCTATGGTAAACAGTCCAATACTAAAGGGTTCAGAAAAGTAAAGACGTTTTAAATAATACATGAAATCGCCACAATGCATAATTTGAAGCGTAAGATAAGCAATATAGTGATACCAACAAAATTTCGACCTTATTATTGTATTCATCAGAAACCACTAAAAATCTGACTTGGTGAAACTGTTTTTATTTTTTATTTATTGCTTAGATAGATGGACGAGCTCACATCCCACCTGGTGTTAAGTGGTTACTGGAGCCCATAAACATATACAATGTAAACGGGCCACCCACCTTGGGATATAAGTTCTAAGGTCTCAGTATAGTTACAACGGCTGCCCCACCATTCAAACCGAAACGCATTACTGCTTCACGGCAGAAATAGGCGGTCCTACCACTAGTACGAACAATCCTTAGTACATTTCTACTGATACAAAATGTATGTAGGGATGCTACAGTACGGGCGGGTGCAACAGCGCCGGCCGGTGCTGCCCCCGGACCACGGTGAGGGGCTGTGTCGCGGGGGAGCGCTCTCCACAGACTGCTTCAAGTCGGGAGACGCTCGCGTCAACGAGCACCCTGGCTTGGTAGCCGCACACATCGTATGGCTGCGGCAACATAACAGGTTTGGACAATTTACTCAAAGCGCCCATAATTATTTACAGGCTTGGGGTGTTTTTATAAGTAATGAATCAACGTTCAACTTGTTTCGGGCCAAAAGTAACCAGAATTCTTTAATTAATGGCTGATTCGAATACAATCGAGACGTCTGTTTGAGATGGTATATCGACTAAGCCCCAAGGAGAAACTTGTTGCATCATATACTCGTATAGAAGCAAAACATCATTTTTTACTCTTCAAACCCGACCCACATTTTGAACAGGATCACCTCCTGAGTCAATCTGTTGATTTCTTCGAAAATATTAATCAATATTGGAACAGCCTTTTCGGAGTAGCGAGTATGGAACAGATCATCAACTCATTTTATACGAGGTTACAAGGTTTCGCACAGGTACGCAAAAAAGCTTTATCTTCAAACTCCTAGTAATACATCTGCTATAATTTGTCAGAATGGCACAAGAGCTGGCCCATTTGAATCCCCACTGGAGTGATGAAAAGATCTACCAGGAGACGCGTAAAATCGTCGGAGCCATGATCCAGCATATAACATACAGGGAATTTTTACCAATTGTTTTAGGTAAAGACTTATTCTATCTATATTCAATTGCCATAATAAATATAGTGTGTTAAGAACTGGGTTACCATTGAACTAGCTATTTTAAAATTTATCTTTTTAATCAAGAGATTAAGAAGACATACCAAGAAGTGAGATCTGGTGTTGGTTTTATAGGATATCAGAATATGATCACCACAGTTTTCCAATCTACCAATTTGTACTCTACCACCTCGTTTTACGTCATCTTATGATAAGCTGGGCCGATATTTCGCGAATAGCTTCCACCTACCTGCCTCTACCAATTTGTACTCTACCACGATGCCTCTTTTATGTCATCACCTATAAAATCTGCATTCTCAGAATGTATCTATTAGAACAATTTTAAAGCATGCGCGCAAGCATTAAAGCAAGCAAAAGCTGTGGACATGGATCAAAAATAGTCTGAATCATCAATTCACATCCTAGCAACAAATCAAAGCAAATCAAACTTTATTAGCTAAAACACGGCTTACGAAGTTATTGATATTTATTTTATAGAACAGCGTGTTTCTATCAGGTCGGCGTGCAAATACTATTCAAAATTATTTACATTCAATGCAGTCAGTAAATATATTAATTAATTAAAATATCAAACAGTCAAATAAATTAATTGAATAAGAATTAGTTATTTATGTCATAAAACGAAAACAAAGAACAGAAAGAAGCGAATTTAAAATGAACATAATGACTTATCATTTAAAAAATCGTTAACTGTATAATAACATCTTAGGGTTAATAATTTTTTCAAGTTATTTTTAAATAAAAATAATTTGACTTTTTTTATAGCATCAAGTAGCTTATTATATATTTTCGGTGCCTTACACAATATACTTTTTTGCATAAGAGTTGTATAGTACAAACACATTTTATCAAATCAATAATTACAAAAACGTACCTACATATTTTCATTGCAATCTTTACATATATTTTTCTAGGTTCAGAAGTAATGGAACTATTCGACCTAGACCTCCAAAGTAAGGGCTATTACAAGAACTACAGCCCTAAAATAAATCCTAATCCGGCTAGTTCGTTTGGTTCTGCAGCCTTCAGATTCGGACACAGTTTGGTGCAGTCATCAATGGTACGCTTCGATAGGTTCCACCGCCCGATGCACAATAGTAAGTCGTCTGTTGATCTTTTTTTTTTGTTGTTGCTTAGATGGGTGGACGAGCTCACAGACCACCGGGTATTAAGTGGTTACTGAAGCCCATACACATCTACAAAGTAAATGCGCCACCCACCTTGAGATACAAGTTCTAAGGTATAGTTAAGGTTCAGTATAGTTACCACGGCTGCCCCACCCTTCAAACCGAAACGCATTACTGCTTCACGGCACAAATAGGCGGGGTGGTGGTACCTACCCGTGCGGACTCACAAGAGGTCCTACCACCAGTCAAAAATCTTTGAATTGTCAAGGTAACTTCATCAACTTTAGTTGATTCTCATGTCATAGAACGACATAAAGAAAGTAGCAACTGCAAACTGAGTTAAAATTGCGCAATCCAGAGAAGATTAACGATCCTTGGAGGAGGCCTTTACCCGCGGATAGGTTCTTGCAAATGGGAAATAATACCTAATATTATTCAACAAATATATTATTTATTAGTTAAGAATTGCATACATTTTTGTTTTTATGTCACTTTTTATGTCACTTGTATGAAATAAAATGCTTTTTTATTTTATTTATTTATTTATAATGCCATAGTATAATAAGGCGTTGATTGACGTTTCATGCCGATATTACCAGTATTTTAAAAGACAAGAGATGCAATTTTCAGTATACAAAATTCTTCGCGTTTAGTTTTTTATAACAACTTACCAAAGTATAATTGAAATTAAGCGTATTCATGCATGTGTTGGAGTGTGTGTACTACATGTTTAAACTTTCGACCTACGTGTCTACGTAACATGTAGGCTAGATAATCTATATCTATACTAATATATAAATCTACAGTGGTTTCTACGGATGTTCTGTTATAACTACTGAACCGTGCATCCGATTGACCTGAAACTTGGTATCCATGTAGAAAATACATGTACTTAATGGATAGGCTAATATTTATATGAGTATTGGACTCCCTACACCAGTTGCGGGGTCGTTAATGATGAGAATCTCTGTGGGGGTGAGAAATTATAATTTTAATTTTAAATGCCCAGCGAAGCGGACGGGTACAGCTAGTTATTTATAAAATATAGTACAATACATGGTTGTTCAGTAAACATATTGTTTATATTAATAGCGATTTCCATAAAAAAATCTGCAGTGGACAGTTTGAAAAAAGGCCATTAAATTTTTTTGAGAATTATCTGTTTCATTTGGCTCTCCATTTTGCAGTACTATTGATTTGCAGTAGGTATCATTAAAAGAGCTCCATGTACATTATAATACATATACCATTACTTCAGGGTGCAATACTGCCTAATAAGAAATCTGCGATTCTATCTGAACAAATATATTATTGTGTTACAGACGTATCTCTCCACGATGAGTTAACCAATCCATCAAACATTTGGAGTATGGGAGCGGTAGACCGCCTCGTCTTCGGCATGGTCAACCAACCAATCCAGAAACGAGATGAATTCATTACAGAAGAACTAACAAACCATTTGTTCCAAACGCCACATTTTGACTTCGGCATGGATTTAGCGGCCATTAACATCCAAAGGGGACGTGACCATGGGGTGCCTCCCTACACCGCGTGGAGAGAGCCGTGCGGGTTGACACCGATTCTTAGCTTCGACGATTTGAAGAGAGTAATGCCAGAGAGGGTTGTAAGGAAAATGGAGTTCTTGTACAGGTGATTCTTTTAAGTATCTTTACACTAAAATATCTAAAAAACAAGCAAACACAATTGAAGTAAACGTTGCACATTCGGCCCCGACCCTAGAATTTTCTCTTAAGTAATGATTGCCGGTAATTTACACAGTACACTCGCGAAGACAAACATAAGATGAATCAATCACCGATCATGAATCAGTAGTAGAGAAATAACATAATTTCTAGGACTTCATCTAGAGTCCGTCAGTGATGTTACTATTTTGTTGGTGTTGAAAACACATTGAGACTCCATCCGTATAAAAATATGCACGGGGCTTTATGGTAAAATAATGCCCTCCTTTAGCTTTAGATATTAATCGATGGATAAGAACTATTAGTATATGACTAGTCTCAAAATTAGAAACACTCGATTATAAATTACGGCTATTGCTTGAGTTTGATGTTTCTGAATGTGTTTGGTTTTCAGGGATGTGGATGACATAGACCTGTTTACTGGAGGTATGGCTGAAAGGCCAGTCGTTGGAGGTCTAGTTGGACCAACGTTTGCTTGCATCATCGCGCAGCAGTTCGGAAATTTAAGAAAAGGCGATAGATTTTGGTGAGACTCTCTTTTAGCTGTTTCCGACTTCTAGTGATTCGATAGGAATCATAATCACACTCTAAGATTGGTATTAGCTCTTTTAGACAAATGATCGCCGTTGAAAAGCATATTAGCGGCTGATCTACGCCTTCTGCAAATGAATTAATAGAGTTTTGATATCAATCACAAATTGTTGGCCTTTAAATTTCAGGTACGAAAATGGAGGTTTCGATTCATCATTCACTCCGGCGCAACTACAGCAGATCAGAAGGATATCCTTCGCGCAAGTTCTATGTCGAACTTTAGACACGATCGAAACGATCCAACCGTTTGTTTTCCTCTCCCCTGAAAATCCTGACAATGAAAGGACTTCATGTCAAAACGGACTGTTGAGCAACTTTGACTTATCCCCGTGGATCGAAATCGAACATGATTCGAATAACATAAGAACCGTTGATGATGACCACAAACCGACCACCAAGAAACCTAAACGGACCAAACCTACCACAACAACCAGAAAACCTACCACTCCTAAAACCAAACCCCTCAAAAGCGCCGTCAAGATGGCTGAAAAGAAACCTGCTGCGGTTTTCAATTCAACGACTGACAGTAACAAAACAGAAAATGCCACATCCAAAATCACTGACACTAAACCCGACAACTTGACTGTTACTGACGAAGACGCGACTAAAACTGACACGACAATACAAATAGACGACAAATTAGACTTTAAAAACAAAACACTACGTTTCGACACTGAAAAGATTGACTCGCGACACAAAAGACCTACTAGTTACGATGATTACGACTACGACAATGACGACACACAAAGCATTCAATCGATTGTTATAAATAATCTAAATCATAAAAGACCTCACAACAGACCCGTTATAACTGTTACTGAAAACATTGATAAATACACCTACCTAATCAACTACGTTCCTAGACCTACGGTGTCATGGAGGCAAACGACCAGAAGGCCTCCTGAACGTGACGTTGTCAAAGTGACTTATCAGACCTATGACGATACGTACAGACGACCGAACAAACCTTACTATTACAAACGACCAGAAAATAACTATGATAATTATAGGGAAAACAGGCCTGACGCTCAAACGAATCGCCACACATCACATTCATCAGCTAGATCTAATGACGAGAGTGTTCAAATTACCAATAAACCAAAAGTTAGCGAAAAACCCGCCCTCTTGGTACCCTCTACAACAGAAAACATATACAAACTAGTCACTTTCGGCTACGTAGGCAATTATAGAGGCGATTTAAATGACTTGACCGCGGAAAAAACTAACAATGACGTTAAAACTGACACGATAGACACCAAACATAAAATTGATACTAAACTTGACATGACTGACGACAAAAATGATGACTTCTCTGACCAAAATGTTGACATAACTGACATAAAAAGAATGACCGACAAAAATGACTCGACTGAACCTAAAAGTGACATAACTGCTTATAAAACGATTGATAATGACGAAATTAACATAGACTTAGGTACTGTTAGCAAAGACTTTTCGACTTACGACACGAAATCTGAATTGACTGAAAATGACAAAACCAATACAGAGAAACTATCAACTTTTTATTTGTATGAAACTGCAACTAGACCATATACTTTACTTAGACCGACGAGACGTAACGACGACGACCGTTTACCTACTTATCCGCAAACCGGTGGTAAATATTACTACGTGAAAAACGTATTACATAAATATCCTGATACTGAGAAAGCTACGAAAGAGGAGACATCCAATACTGATAGTGATCCGACTAGTGAAAGCATTGAAGAACGATCTTCAGGAGATAAAATGGCGAATTTGGATGAAGTTGAACAAAAATCAAATAAACCCGAAAGAGTACGAAACAGAATCAGGAAACCAGCTAGTGCGGCTAAAACACCCTCGGTTACTTTCCAAGTGATTCCGAGCGAAATCAGGTATGTGAAAATTTGAATTTTTGTTGAAATATATTTTTTTGCATAAGAGCAAGCCCTACGAGTAGTGCCGTAAGTTTCATTCCGATTAGCACTGGCGAACTGGCTGGCCTATTTGATAAGACGTCCGGTGCATTCGTGTTGAGCGATGCACCGATGTTAGAATCTCAGGCGGGTACCAATTTTTCTAATGAAATACTTACTCAACAAATGTTCACGATTGACTTCCACGGTGAAGGAATAACATCGTGTAATAAAAATCAAACCCGCAAAATTATAATTTGCGTAATTACTGGTGGTAGGACCTCTTGGGAGTCCGCGAGGATAGTTACCACCACCCTGCCTATTTCTGCCGTGAAGCAGTAATGCGTTTCGGTTTGACGGGTGGGGCAGTCGTTGTAACTATACTAAGACCCTTAGAACTTATATCTCAAGGTGGGTGGCGCATTTCCGTTGTAGATGTCTATGGGCTCCAGTAACCACTTAACACCAGGTGGGCTGTGAGCTCGTCCATCCATCTAAGCTAAAAAAAAAAAAAAAATATTTCCTTATTGACCACGTTAACCGAGTACTATACATATAAAAATAATAAGATATTAAAGTTTACTACTATGCTATACTATATTTTTTCATTAGGGTGGTTTACATAATAAAATACGTGTTAAAATGTATTTTCGCGTTTTGAAATAAAATCCACTATAATAAAAAAATCTTATTTTCAGTCCGACTCAATGGGCAGTGTATGAAGAAATGGAAGATTTACCCGAGGGAATATCATACAAAATGCCAGTAATTAAAGGTGATCCGCAGGCACTCACAGAAATACCAAGACCGTTCAACTTTAAGAATTTAAGAAGACGACGTCCTGGAAGATTTTAAAAATAACATTAAATTAGTTCAATTGTAGTATATAATTATTTTGTATTTTTATAATCTCGACTTTTGTAAATTGTCAAACAGAAACGCATTGAAAATATTACTTTCTTTAGATGCGTGCCTAGCACTGCTTTAAGTATTCTTAAATAAGTGTATAATCTATGATACGTAATTTAGATTCGCCAGACAGTCAATGCATACATGCCTATACATCAATGATTTACTGAAATGACTTATACATTATTGTAATAAACACTATTATTGTCAGAAGCATGTTATTGTAAAAGTTTGCAAAGCAACTTACTTAAAATACGTGACTCAAAACGAAAAAAAGACTGGACTCACTTGACAGACTAGAAATGACGTACTGACTTAGATGACTGACATATAACTGACAAAATGTATTACCATAATTTGAACATTAGCTTTTTCATGACTTTTACAACTATCTATCTATCTCTTAGGTGACTTTTACAACATTTTTCGACAAAAACCTTAAATCTTTAAGAGCGACTTATAATAAGAAGGACTTTGACTGATGACAAATTCATAATTTTCATAAACCATTATAATGATACAATGATATTTTTTGTTTGTTTATATACCAATTACAATAGCAGTAGACCTTTTGAAGCTGGATATAAGGAAGAATATGAACATCTCGTGACGTCTATCGCACGGCCAGATAAATCGCAATGTGTTTCTTATTTATTTATTCCATCAAATTTGGTAGTTTCTAACTTTCTCATTCTGAGTCAAAGACCTTTTAAATAAATAAATATTTTTTCGTGATTATTAAAGATGAGAAAGCTCGAAATATGACTAATAGGACATGACATGTTGACTGAACTAGACTGATGACATTTTAGACTTTAGGCATTAGAAGGGACTGTAGTATCTCTCGCATGTACGTATAAACTTCAATATGGATACTGAATTTTTTTTTAGTTCTTCGTATTCTTAGATTCTTAACGTATCGAGCCATGAAGAAAAACATTTCCACAAAAATAATATCCAAATTATCTTGATTAAAATTAAAGATACCCTCTTTTTACATTATTGATATTTGTTATCTGACTGATTAGATTTAAACTGAGAAGGTGCTTTATTTATTACATGTGGAAGAGCTTGTGTAATTATATGACTTGATAGTACTGACGTAATATTGACAGTATTGACTGAGTAAAGCGAGACTGTGACAAACTATTTATTGAGACTAAACAATGTTAGCATAAAATTTCCAAAACCATTAAAGACTAGTAAAAAAATGAAATAGTATTTCTCTTATTTTGATCGGTATCATCATCGGAAGTTATGAAATTGTAAAGAAAAAATTATCTGCAACTCAGTTGCTGTCATCTTCGAGCGAAGGCAACCACTCACCATCAAGTGTGACGTATGCTCGCCTGCCTAAAATGGCAATAAAAGAATACAAAAAGTGCAGGTAGAGTGAATTTTGATTGTTGTATTGCAGCTTGCCTTTGCCTGATACTAAAACGGACTGTGGCATTAATCTATAGCGTTTCACCATGATTCACACCACGACTTAATTCATAACTCATATTATTATTATTTTTTATTGCCCTAGCAGGCATACGGTCCACCTGATGGTAAATGGTTACCGTCGCTCATGGGCGTCAGCAATGCCAGGGGCAGAGCCAAGCCGCTGCCTACCGCTTAATACTCTCCACAAGCCTCGTTTGAAGAATGCTAATTAATACTAATAAAATAAATAGCAATGTTGACCGTTTTTACACAATTTTATTTTTTAAATAATATTAACACAAGTCAAAGCGAGAGAAAATTAGATAAAATATAAATTGAATATTACTCTACATAATATTGCTACATAACTATACCATAGGGTAAACTAACAATCTCACTTTTCACCATCAAACACCATCTGTGTAACAGAACTGTTTTTTTTACTACACAGCTACTCATTTAGGGATGAGATTTTAATATACAATACTAAACATTTACTTTTCAGTAATGAAAAAAAGATAAGCTTACGACTAGCCAGTATGAGATATTACCTATATTCATAAAACAGTAAAACTGCTGTCTAAAATTAGTTAAAACTATAAAATTAAATATTTAACATAATAATTTTAATATTTAAGGTTTCAGCTAATTTGTTCTTTTCTTATTGCTGTGATGGGTGGACGCTCTCAGGCCCACCTGGTGTTATAAGGGGTTACCGGAAATCACAGCATCAACAACGAAAATGCCGCCACGTACCTTGAGAGGGTAGATCTAAGGTCTCAGTACTGTTAGTCATCTGTGGCCATACAAACCGTAAAGAATTAAAAACTTCAGAAACAACAAACGTGAGATTAAGCCACATTTTTTATAAAGAACATGTATCTTCATTTTGTGAGTTGTAAACATAAATAAAAATACTATAATGATTTGATCAAGTATTTACAAGTACATTTTTAATAAATTAAAATTCTCTCATGACCTTCACTTTTTTAAAAGAAATGCATATAAACAAATGCACCAAAAGTAGTAATCATTATTATAACTATTATTGTATAGTTTTGATGGGTGGACAAGCTCACGAACCACCTATTGGTACTGTGGCCCATAAATATCAGCTAAAAACCACAGGAGCCCATAGACATCTACAATGCAAATTCCCCTCCCTACCTTGAGATATTAGTTCTTAGGTCTGTTTTTAGTCCAAAGGTTGCCCCCACCCTTCAAACCGAAATGCATTACTGCTTCACAGCAGAAATAGGAAAGGGGGGCAGTATGTACCGGTGCAGACTCACAAAACGTCCTTCCACTAGTAACTATGCATATTATAATTTTTGAGGGTTCTCATTAGACAAATGAAACCCTTATTCTAACACCTGGATTCTAACATGAGCACTGGTGTGTCATATTTTGTAGGCTAAAATGAGTTTATAATTTGCTTATTCATGTAGTTTTATAAATTTGCTTTGTGGTATTAACATTTATGTATTAAATCAAGAAATTCTATCTAATTTCATATTGAGTTTAAAATTTATTAAAATAAAATGGTTTTAAAATTTCTAATTAATTTCAAACTATGAGGGAATTTAATCTCTCTCAGGATAAAACTGAACTATATTCTTTGAGATCTCTTCAGCTAATTCCATTGTACTGGCACTGAGTATTCTCCTAGACAATATGTCAAATGGTCCACCAGCAGGATCAATGACCACTCCACCAGCTTCCCTCACCAAAACAGTTCCTGCTGCGACATCCCAAGCATGAATTCCAAATTCAAAATAAGCATCAGCCCCTCCTAAAGCCACCATAGCCATATTCAGTGCGGCTGAACCCAATGTTCTCACTCCATGCCCTTTACTGACCAGAATCTTATAGTTCTCCAGCACAGCCTTAAATCTCTCAGGGTCTCGACTCGTACCTGCTTCAAATGTGACTAAAGCCGTGGCAAACTCTTTAACTTGTGATACATGAATTTGTGTCTCATTTAAGAAGGCACCTTGACCTTTCTTAGCCGTAAACATCTGCCCTAAGATAGGATTATAGATAATACCAACAACTGGCTCCTTATTAATTGTGAGGCCCACCGATATTGAGCTGTGCGGAAAACCGTGCACGAAGTTCATTGTTCCATCAACTGGATCGATGATCCATGTTGGTGAGTCTGTCAACTCGCCTTTCGTCCCGTCTGCGACTGACTCCTCACCAATAAACTTGTGGTCGGGAAACGCTTTAGAAAGACCGCCGACCAGTGTGTCTTCAACTTTTTTATCTATTTCAGTCACCAGATCTATGTCACATGATTTCAGTACGAAGGATTTACAACCATTAATGTGCTCACTAATAAGGTTTCCACAAGTTTTTACCAGGGACAAAGCAACGTCGTAGTATTGGTCAACTTTATCAGTCATTTTCAATTTTACTACTTCAATGATTGTTTTCTGAGATTTATTTCAATATTTTCTGATAATTAAATTATGCGTTGAAAAAGAAAAAATATTGCAAATGAATTTCCATGAAGAAAGAAAATGAAATAATTTTCTCAACAGTAGTAGCTAAATGTCAATGTCAATAATTGTCATGACCAAAGTGTCAAAGTTCTATGTCAAAGTTACATTAGACATTAATGAAAACTTTCGTCTTAAAAAAAGTATTACCTACTAAAGGGTTTTTCATTAAGGGCGCTGAAACTTGAAAGTAAATAAATAAACCTGTTTAAGTGATATTGCCACAATTTATATTTTATTTTAAAGGGTATTCGATGACATTATGTATGGAATATAATTTCAGACAAATGGCCGCCGCCATTAGTCCACCAGGGTACTCCGCCGTAGGTGGTGTACCCTGGTGGACTAATTTTACATCCTCGCAGAAATGAGGCTCGATTTCACGAAGAGCGCGAATTATGTTGGCCTTCAGGGGGGCAATAGTCTAAGGCTTGTCTGCATAGACTAGAGATTTCACGCAACCCTACAGAAAGTAGTTGAACGGTGTTAAGTCACACGATCTCGGTGGCCAGTTGATGTCGCCACCATACCAGCCATCAAATTTCACATCCAATAAACTTAATGTTTTCCGTGCTGTATGGCAAGTGGTGCCGTCCTGTTGGAACCACATTTTTGTGAGATCCATACAGTCTATCCTAGGCTGCAAAGTTTGTCATTGTCGTCCGATATCGGTCGCCATTGACAGCGAGCGCGGCTCCTTGTGCATCTTTGAAGAAATAAGGACGTGTAATGTCACAACTAAAATTAAATATGTGTTCATACCAAACTTGAAAACTATCGCTTTACCAAGATGGTCGTTATGAGAAGTCAAAGTTCGCGCGTCCCTGTATTAATAGTCTTCTTTTGCACTGCATGGTTGGACGTACGTAGTGACCCGAACCCAAAAACAACTTGAACATGTGATAATAGTTCACGACTGACTTCCACGACTTCCAGGGATTAACATCGTATAATAAAAGTTAGACCTGCTAAAAATATAAATTGCATATTTACATATATCAAACTCGTCGAATGTGACGTGCAACCTAACCCATAGAAAGAATTCCTAGAGTTTCTCGCCGGATCTTCTCATTGGGATAGTGTTAGTAAATTCCCTTAGGCTAAGCTCGGTGAAGCTGGAATATCCCCACGATGCTACCAATGATTAGGAAAATAAAGTTCAGAGTTGTTAAATATTGCATTCAACGGTTTTTGACACGCGGTAGTTTAGTGAGTAAATGGATTCGTTAACCAGATACCTTTGAGTTGTCAAGCTTGAGCAGCTGTTAGCAAGTCCCACTACTGAATGAGCCCAAAAAAACATTAAAATAATGTCGAAGATTAAGAATAAATTGACGCGCAGAATCTAATCTTGACTAAAAGTGCGGCTATTTATTGTCATACAATGCGTCCAATCATACGGGCCACGTGGTCATCGTGATAGGCATGAACAATAACAAGGACATAGCCAAGCAGCTGCTAGAGCAAGTTTCTAGAACAATCTTGTGTTTAGATAAACAATGCGTTCAGTTCACATTGGGTTAGTCATTCGCGCGTTAGGTAGTTCCGAGATCCGTGTGCTTAGTGCGAGTTTTTTAACGTTCTCGATAGCGTAAAAGTTAACCCAATTTTGTATGCAGTTGGAACAGCGCCCCTAGCGGCAAACGTACGCAAACGATCCCATTCCATACAAATATGAGCTAACTTTTACGCTATCGAGAACGTTAAAAAACTCGCACTAAGCACACCGTTCTCTACACCCTGTACAGATAAAGTGACAAATAAAACGAATGATTTTTAAAAATTATGAAAAATTGTTTAATTGGCATACCAACTTATAACTTGTTACAACCTATGACCAATTTTACAATTACATCAATATTGTTAATAATTAAATATAATATTTATGTAAAATATGTTTATGCTTCAATGGTTCACTTACATTTAGAATTTATATTATTATATCGGAAAAAGAAAAAAACTATATTTATTAAATAAAATAAAAATAAAAAATTGGATAGGTAGATAAATAGACGTTGATAGACATTGTTAAAATGCTCATTACAAAGTTACACTCGTATTTAGCGCCAACAGAGGGCGATAACGTTCCGATTTACGTATTGTCCATATTAAAAAAAAAACCTAAGGCCACAATTTATTCCTACGTTCTTAATATTAAACGTCTATGTTCGTGAGCCGTGTCTGCCGCTTTATTTTTTCGGTTGGCAACAATCGATACAGCATTGTATTTTAAAAAAAAAAACACCAAAAACAATGGCGTATTTACACGTTTTGTTGTTTAAAAACGTTACATTTTGAGTGAAATACGGTTACAAAAATAGCGATACGCGACAGTTAACATACGTCAAGCTATTCTCGTACTTACTGTGTAGACGTTAAAGTTCAGAACCGTCACGTATGCATCAAAAAGGCTAAATGTTTCGTGTTACTTAAAACTAAATCGTAAAATTTTATGGCAACTAAGCGCTCAGTGTTCGCACTGATTTTATTTACATGTAGCGCGGGACGTCACGCGAGGCGAGCGTCGTGGCGGACCAACGGATCGCGGGTTCGATCCGGAAACAGTGTTATCCATCACACTCAATTTGACGGTAGTAAAAAATATTAATATAAATTTAACGTTGTACAAATTTCGAATTAAGTGTCTCAAAAAACGATTCCCTCAAAAACAGTCTTCGTTGCTCAGTCGCTTTTTTTAAATGCACTATTTTGCTTATTTTCTTATAACATGATTTATGTACTTTTGCCACAAAACAATAATACTCTTTGTTTACATTTAAAAAAAAAAAAGAATATCACCAATGTTATTTTCGATCGAATCTGGGTAAACATGAAGATATACTTCGATTTATCAAGGAATGTATCGTATAATACTGGATGCGCAATTGGGGATATCAAAATAGTTGTGAGAAAGTACCAAAAGGATACATAAGACTGTTTAAATGCATTGTTTTTTAGATTAAATTGAGCACCGGTATCTAAGCAAGAGGTTAAAATGCAGCTATGCACGTCTCTGTCGCACTCGGGCTCTGACCGCAAGAGTGACAGAGAGCCGAATATATTCGTTAAAAACTTAGGCCGCCTCTAGTGTGCCTATCTACATTTCTTTAAATTACAATACTTATAAAATGTACGCGTAAATACAGCGCGTTCTAAAAAGGTACAATAATATTTGTCAGCATTATAATTTGTCAGGCGGCCATATTGTCCTGGAAATCAGTCACAATCTGTCTTCTGATCGACTAAGAACTTTGGCCGAGTGAACAGCACGGCGGAAATATGCCCCGTACATACATAATATGTAGACATTAATATTTAACACCATAAAATATTATTGTAACATTTATTACTACAATCTGTATACATAACAATTATCAAAGGCAAAACAGAATGCGAAGCTGTAGAGTTAAACTTACTGTCCGAATGCGATGTCTACTTGAATTTATACCTTTTAATTCTAACAAAAATATTGCGATAACGCTTCGATTTCTAACGTTTGCAACACCGTTACCAAAAATAATTTCGAAATACGAATGCGTGCCATACAAAGGACCTAAGCCTAAGGTTTACCTTACAAAGAAATCTCAGCTCTATCCCTATGGGTGTTAAAGAATAAAATTCAAAGTGAACATCGCTAGTGACTTGTTAATGTTACTCGACGCTGTTTGTTGTATCGTTGACGTCATCGAAGGACTCGTCTCCGGAGCCGCCTCCCGGAGCCAAGGATGGACGGTTCCTGCGCGAGGTCGTGGAGCCGCTGGACAGACTTATCGGCCCACCTTGTCGCCTGTAAGACAGAAACATACATCAATTTTTACTGGTGGTAGGACCTCATGTGCGTCCGCGCGGGTAGGTACCACCGCCCTGCCTATTTCTACCGTGAAGCAGTAATGCGTTTCGGTTTGAAGGGTGGGGCGGCCGTTGTAACTATACTTGAAACCTTAGAACTTATATCTCAAGGTGAGTGTCGCATTTAAGTTGTAGATGTCTATGGGCTCCAGTAACCACTTAACACCAAGTGGGCTGTGAGCTCTTCTATCCACCTAAGCAATAAAAAAAAACTTCCATTTTTCAAGTACCGTAGATTGGGAGGAATTGGGACTAGGGGTAGAATAGAGACAAATCTGGGTTGGCACAATGCTTTTGTGAGATTTAAATTTTTTGAATTGAAAAGGACTTTTATTTAGTGTTTATGAATATTAAATAGTTTAATTTAGTCATCAGAGTTTTGTAACTGATTACAGATATTGAAAAGTTAATTACCTAAAGTACCTACCTAACTAAACAGTGCCAGCCCTATCGATTAACTATATTGTCCCCATACATGACCCGATTCACCCCAAAAGCCAAGATGAATCAGGTTAAGCTAGTTTTTTTAAGTTTTTGTGTATATTTTTCAATGAACTACATATAATAATGCATCATATATGAAAATAATAACCTCCGGAACCATTTAAATCTCAATTTTATTGGTATTACCCTAAGAAAAACCGCTGAAAATTTGGGTTGGAATTGAAAAGCGTCCCGATTCCCCCAATCTACTGTACTATTATTCCTCCATTAGTCATGTACAGCAGCCAGTTCTACATCACCTTATTCGGTCAATTTGTTATCTGTTCACTCGCTTGGCTATCTGCCCAGGTAAATTTTGGCGATAATTTTAAACTACCTTCTTAATAGATTAAAATCATCCATATAGCTGATAGACGAGTGAGAGTACAAAGCTGTTTAATTGCAATACATTAGTTTCTCACCATTAATAATTCTTTCTAACCTAAGCCTCCCAGAAACTCTTATACCAACATTATGCAGCTATCAATTTAATGTCACACAATCTCGAAGTGACATGGTCAATAAATCATAACTCTAGATTGACCCTTTTCTATATAACAAAAAAATTACCCCTTTCATCTCAATAAAACACTCATCTCAATTTCAATAGAAAATAGTAAAAGGATTTAAAAGGCACACAAATAGACCAAACGGACAACACAATTATTTCAAAATCAAACCATGAATGTGTGCTTTTATGATTAAAGACGACACAATTATAAAAAGCTTTTATTTTCTCGGGGCCCAGATTTTGCTAATTTGTATTATTATAATATCATGAATTTTGTCATATACAAGCAGAACCCTCCTGTTATATTAAGAGATTAATCAAATCCAAAGTCAACTGTTCCACACTCATCGAACCCAAGACCCAGCACGCAATTCCCCCATGTTGTAGACACCGTACACAGACTGTCCAGACAAATACAGGTTCTGTACAATCATACAAGTGCAGACACATCACCCGTACAGCAATCAGAGTTACAAACATATACACCAACAAAACAAAACCGGCGACATCTATATGAAATAGAAATGAAGACAAAATCGATAATTTTTCTCACAAACATTCAGAAAATCAATCGTTATAAGCGAAATAATGTCACCAATTTTAGTTCGCACCCAAATGAGTTGAGTATAGAATATAAAAGTCGCCTTAATTCATTATTTCATCATTTAGAGATATGCTCTAGAGATATGCATCTAAAATGGAAAAGATTATATAAGACCAGGCCCGGTAACACATTGAGGGTTTCCCTATTAGATTTTCGTGCCCACGGTTCTATCCGGAATTACGAAACGAAATTCCTATAAATGAAATCTAACCAGAATAAATGCCGTACTTTGATGTGTCAAGCATCAATTTTTCATTCGAATCAAATCGAATAACCATTCATAACTCGTAATTTCATTCGATGGTGTTGCCATACCTATCAGACAAAAACAAAGATGGCCGTTTTAGAAAGTATTAAAAATTTATAATGAAGATGACAAAAGCAGCACATCAACACCAGCATTTTCTTTTACCTCTTCTTCTAGTATTTAGGACTCGTTTATTCGCTCTCATCGAAGTCACACAGGGACGCCAACCTTTTAGGCGTAGTGACGGTGCCACTGTTAAAAAACTAACAGTCACTCTATGACAACACAATTTTCTTTTTTTTTCGTTTGATTGCTAATCAAAACTATCAAAGTGACATTTCAGTAATGAACCATACTCGCTAAACAGATTTAGTCTTTCAAAAGAACTAGCATTTGAAACCTGGTGGTCCCATAACGAGATTGTCCAAGGTCATGGCTTCCGAAGGCGCTACGTCACAGAGGTTACTTGAAAACTTGACATTACATGACAGTACTGGCTGAGACCAGCCACAGAATGCCAAAATTGAAAACACAGATTGTAAAGTGAATCAAGTTACACGATTTACGAACGGCATCTGAACGACATTTTTCTTTTAAAGTTCTCTTCTATTTACCCTATAAACTACCTAGTAACTATACTGAGACCTTAGAACTTATATATCTCAAGGTGGGTGGCGCATTTACGTTGTGGATGTCTATGGGCTCCAGTAACCACTTAACACCAGGTGGGCTGTGAGCTCGTCCACTCACCTAAAAAATAAAAAAAATAAAAAAAAACCGACACGATCTAAGACCGAGGAGAGCGGTGAGTCCAAGTTCTACATCACTAATGTTACTGATTGTCCCACGTATGAGATCCGATCTCCGTGGCCTTGACGTCCAGACCGTGCGTCCGTACCTGAGTTTGTTCCTCAAGTTGTTGCACTCGAGGGTGACGGTTTCGTGAGCCTCGTTGAGGTCCTCGAGTTCCCTCTGCGCCTTCCTCTTGCCGGCCCTCTCGCGCTGCACTTCCTCTTCCGCCTCGTCTAAACGACGCTTTAGTGTTTTCATTCTCACGTTCATCTGAAATGATTCGTTTTGTAGAGTTAAGGGTAAATAGGTAAATAAGATTAATAGGTAATTTGGAACCTCTGGGTCTGCGGAGGGTCTTCGCTTTCCTTGTATTTTATACCGTATGTTCCATGGGGAGTGCTCTGGGGAGTTGTTTAAGATGATCCCCTCATCTCCTTTTTATCACCACACCTCCCGCCATCGGAGCAGAGTTCATCCATATTATCTGGAACTGGTGCGTTCATCCACAGTGCGTTTCCAGAGGTATTTTTACCATGTACCATCCGGCTATGGAATGAGCTCCCCCCACGGTGTTTCCTGAGCGCTATGACATGTCCTTCTTCAAACGAGGCTTGTGGAGAGTATTAAGCGGTAGACAGCGGCTTGGCTCTGCCCCCGGCATTGCTGGTGTTTATAAGCTTGATAATCGTTTTAAAAGGAAGAGCCCTGAACTTATCAAACGTTCTTTTGGAGAAGAATATTTCCCAAAAACAGTATGGGTTGCTATTACTAGCGTTCTGCACTGTGTCATCCGCGTACCTTTTCAATCTGTTCCTTGAACTGGTCGGCCTGTCTTCTTTCCTCGTCGAGTTGAAGAGCCAACTCCTTCATCTTCTTATCGAGTTTCCTCGAGGCCTTCTGTTGAGCGAGGCGCTCTCTCGACTCCGCCTCCAGTTGCTCCTCGAGGTTGGCCACCTTCAGCTCCAATGACGTAATAACACCCTGTATATTAAATACATATTTAGATTCGTTACTTTTTAACAAACCTGTATGTAAACACCCTGTACCTCTGATGTTTTTTTCTAAAAAGCAGATCTTTTTGGCGGAAACGCGAGGAGTGAAGCTGTGTGATTTGTTTTATTTTGTCTATTTAGTGTTACTTAGTACTTAACGGATAGTAGTGTACTTAACGGATAGACTAATATTTATATGAATGTTGGTCTCCCTAATAATAATGACCAAAATAATAATGTTAATTTTAAATACTCAGCGATGCGGACGGGTACAGCTAATCCCTTATAAAAAACGATCTAGATCATTCAAAGAGCAGCTAGGCGCAGTTATTTAGACAAGCATCAAACCTTGGTCTTGGTCCGTCCCGCCGTCTCCATTTCAGCGAGTTTCGCCTTCAGCTCCTTGTTCTGCCTCTCGAGGACGAGTTTGCCGCTCTCCAGCTTCTGTGTTGCAGATTTCTCTGTTCCCAACTCCATTGTTAATGTATCGATTTGGTTCTGTAAACAAAATCACAAACTAATTCAATCCGTGTTCAATCCGTGTTCAGAAGGACTTATGATGACTAGCGCCCGTGGACAACCAGCGCCGCCCACCTGCAGACGTGAACTACTCCAGTAACAACAGTCCTCAACCTCCAAATAACCAACAGAGAGCAGCCCAAGGTTTTTGTTTCAAGAATATATCTGAACTGAGTTTTATTTATTGGTGGTAGGGCTTCTTGAGAGTCCGCACGGGTAGGTACCACCACCCTGACTGTTTCTGCCGGGAAGTAGTAATGCGTTTCGGTTTTAAGGGTGGGGCAGCCGTTGTAACTATACTGAGACCTTAGAACTTGCGTCTCAAGGTGGGTGGCGGCATTTGCGTTGTAGATGTCTATGGGCTCCGGAAACCACTTAACACCAGGTGGGCTATGAGGTCGTCCACCTATCATTATAATAAAAAAAAGTGCAGGCGTAAGCTACGCATCCTTGTGCAAACCCTTGTTTGCACCAGTAACAATCGACCTCCAAATAACCAACAAAGAGCGAGCAAAGATTTTTGTTTCAGCATTATATCTGTACTGAGTTTTATTTACAGTAGTACATTTCTGAGTTATTTTAGTTATTCCGAGTGAGATACTGTACAGATAATGTATTTTTTGTAAAGGCGATAGAATATCATACCTGCGCCTTCCTAAGTCTATCGCTAAGTATTTCGTTGTTGGATTGTTCTTCGTCGATGTCCTCCTCGAGGGCGGCTATTCTGGCCTCGAGACGTTTCTTCTCATCGATCAGAAGTGTACTCTATAAATGTAGATTAAAAAAGGTTATTTTATTACAATTCAAACATCTCAGAAGTCAGTTAGTTACAATTGCTTTTCATATATATTTTTTACATTTCCCCGCTGTCCAACTGAGAGATAAGACATATATGTATGTAGCGGGCTTAGCTTAGACAGTCTGTGTCGAGTCGTCGCACAATAAAGAGGTTGCAAGCTGTCGTGTCTTATTAATAATTATCACCCTGCATAATACCACACGCGCTCTATATAAGCACAGACTCAACACTGGTGACCCCGACGTGATTTGAACACGCAACCTTCTGATGCCTGGCGGGCCTTCGCAACATGTATGTATAGAGTTGTGGCTGTGGTCGTAAGCCGCAGACACTTCTCGACAATAAAAGTAGAAAGACAATGTTTACTTTTTAATTTATTCATTTCAATAACTTTATTTGCTTTGAATCTTCGAGATTTAAATCAAGAAATCAAGTAGGATTAAAGTGTTGCAATTGTATTACATTCTAGTAACACAGCCACTGACCTTAGCGGAGGTATTATTGAGTTCATCGTGCAGGTCGTCTCTCTCGGCCTCAGCCTGTCGTCTCGCTCGCTCGGCGGCCGCCAGCTCTTCGACGTGATGGAGAGCCTCGGCTTCCAGAGCCTTGAGCTTCCTCTCGGCTTCTCGGGCCGAGGCCGAAGCCTCTTCGCGACCGGCTCTGGCTTCTTCGGCCTCGCGGGCGGCTTCCTTGAGCTGCTGCTGTAGTTTCTTAACCTGTTTTACGGCATCTTCTTTGACCTGTAAATGAGATGCTAACGCTGTAATTTTTTATTATACAGTACAACAATGAATGCCTCTCGTGCGAGTACGGGTATGTGTGCTAAGATTTCAGCTAAATGTAATAAAATATTTGCCTTACAGTTTTGAATAGAATAGCTATAGAATTTGTCTATGGTTGTCAATTACAATCCTTGTACTGCACAGATCAAGCTGATTGTGCATGTCACAGAATACAAGTTTGTGAACGCTTTTGTGAAAAAATCATGTTTTTTTTATTTTTTATTGCTTATATGGGTGGCCGAGCTCACAGCCCACCTGGTGTTAAGTGGTTACTGGAGCCCATAGACATCTACGACGCCAATGCGTTACCCACCTTGAGATATAAGAGCTTCACGGCAGATTTAGGCAGGGGGGTGGTACCTACTCGTACGGACTCACAAGAGGTCCTACCACCAGTGTGGATGATCCCGCGTCACGAGGTTACCGTAAAGGAGGGGGGGTCACCTTGTTGGCGAGGTGCAGCGCCTGCTCGGCGTCCTTGAGGTCGGCCTCGAGCTTCTTCCTCTGCGCGAGCGCGGCGGCTCGCTGCTTGCGCTCCTCCTCCAGCTCCGTCTCCACGTCGCGGAGCTGCTTCACGATGCCGCGACGCTTCTCCTCGCCTTGTTCTTCTTTAGCCTGGGGGTGTATAAACAAACATACGAGTCAACTAGCAATACTCGTTAATACGTTAAAACTTTATGGCGGGTAGCCATCGTACGACACAATAATAATATATTTGACAGATGCCTGAATCTCGATTACGACATTTTCAAGATAAGCTTGGATATTTACATTTTCTGGACAACAACATTCGGACCGTCGATCTACCGAGCAATATCACCCGCTCGGTGTAAGATCTTCCCTTCGTGATATACCTACAACATTATCAATTTGCCAATTGTTTTACTGTTTTAAGATTTAAAGACAAGCGAACTCGTAGTCTAACTGGTATATGGTATATGAAGTAGTTGATACGAGGCAAAGGGAACTCGTAGTGTAACTGGTATGGGTGGGCGTACCTGCAGGTCGCGCTCGAACTGCGCGCGCATGGCCTGCATGTTGACCTCGAGCCGCAGCTTGGCGTCCTCGGTGAGCTGCAGGTCGTCCTCGATCTCCTCGTTCTGCGCGTGCAGCTCGGCCAGCTGCGACTCCAGCGCTCGCTTGGCTCGCTCCAGCTCGTGGACGTTCTTGTCGGCCGTGCCTTGCGAGTTGGCCAGCTCGTCCAGCTCCGCTTGGAGCACTCGCTTCGTCCGTTCTAGCTCTTCGATCTGTGGAAATTAGTTCGTTAAATATAAGGCTATACATTTATTGTTCGAAACCAATCTGTGGGTATTTGAATTAAAAACGCGGCACGGCACCGCGGCAACGCGGCGCGATTTGACAGTGCCTTCGCGATTTGACATCTGTCACTTTGGCTTGCTTCTCGAACGGGACGGTACCCTCATTTGTGACGGTCTACGCTACGGTTCGCATTATCACCAATCCTTATCCATTCCTGCCCTAAACCTATCTCCCTAAGTGATACGGCGTGAGACAACGAGGTCATCGGTTCCGGTGAGTTATTAGATGATATTTTGTTAAAATAGTACATACGGCGCCGTAGATCGCGGCACATGTTCGACGGCACCTCGGGCTGGTTTCCGGAGCCCTAGGCTGCCACGAGGGCGCTGGGTTCGGATCGAACATTTATCTAACTATCCCTATCCTTATCCTATTTCCCAATATTCATGAAACTACAAAGTATATCTATTGATTTCTAAGCATTCGTATGTTTGTCTGTCCGTAGCTCTAGTTGGCTACTGCAATATCTAAAGTTTCCGCAGCTGTCTCGCTCCTGATGTTCAGAAGTCAGTGACATACCGAACCGCTGCTCTGAAATTATATAAAGTGTACACACCTTCTCAGCAGCATCATCTAATTCCCTGGTCAGAGAGAGCACCCTGGTCTCCTTCTCCCTGGCCTCGTGCTCCGCCTGGTCTCTCTCGGCAGCGTACCGTTCCGCCACGGCTCTCTCTTCAGCTACCACCTGGTCACAACCAAACATATTTCATCTGTATATTAATACGTGAAGCAAAAACTTTGTACCCCTTTTTACTTAAAATTGGGCGGACGGAGGAATATGGAATTTCCCCCTACTTATAGAATATAGAGAAGGAGTGCAGAATATTAATATTTTATTAAATTGTGCATAAAAAATGCATTAAATCAATAAAATACCAAACATTACACACACTCATGTATTTGACACACACACACGCATGCATACTATTTATTTATTGTCAAACTTTTCTTATTTGCTTATAGTCTGTGCTCAAATTGAAAATAGATTAAATATTGTTTGTCTTTATTAATATTTTTAAGTCTAAAGTGTAGTCATCGCGAAATCTGTGATTATAGAAGTTTAATAGTCTTTGACAATAGAATCATAATAGTGTACAAACTTATAATTTCAATTAACCATAGTCGAGTTTCGACCGCCGGGTGACCACTAGTAAAAATAAATTGGGATTAGAATCCAACACGGATGGCGAGATGCCGTGAAGCATCATCATTTTTACTGGTGGTAGGACCTCTTGTGAGTCCACACGGGTAGGTACCCCCACCTTACCTATTTCTGCCGTGAAGCAGTAATGCGTTTCGGTTTGAAGGGTGGGGCAGCCGTTGTAACTATACTGAGACCTTAGAACTTATGTCTCAAGGTGGGTAGCCCATTTACGTTGTAGATGTCCATGGGCTCCAGTAACCACTTAACACCAGGTGGGCTGTGAGCTCGTCCACCAATTTAAGAAAAAGAAAAAAAAAAGGCATTACAGTGACGCACAGGTGAGTGGATCTGTTGGAAACTGGCTACCGGAACTCATAGACATCACAATGTGTATACCACAACCTGTCTTGTGACGTGAGGTTAGAAAGAACAGTATCACCCACCCGTGCCGGCGCAGAATACCCTACCACCTCTTCACTCTGGTGATCTGGTCAAGACATTAAACCAACTAAAGGGGATGGCCCATTTTAGGCCCAAAGCGGACAATAGATTATAGAAAAAATACTTAGTGCATTAATTTTGTCATAAATAAATATGCATTTACTTTCTTGCAAATAAGCGCCACTATAGTTTACAATAAGTAGTTTAAAAAAAGTAACTCTATTGAAAAAACAAGGATTTTTATTTTTGCGGGAAAAATATTGCCANGTCCTGAACCAAAAAACTATTAATTTGTAAGCAATATCGAGATAATTTCGATATAGACATTTCGCTGTCGGACTTCCTTACTAGTCGCGGCGGCGAACGTGAGTACCCGTGGCCTGCAAACGGTGCTGCGCGAATGGTCGCCTCGCCCACCGCTTCGCTGTTCGCACCGCCGATCCCCGTGGCCAGGCCGTAAGTGATACGGCGTGAAACGACGAGGTCATCGGTTCCGGTGAGTGATTAGATGATATTTGGTTAAAATAGTACATACGGCATCGCGGATCGCGGCACATGTTCGACGGACACCTCGTGCAGGATTCCGGAGCCCTAGGCTGCCACGAGGGCGCTGGATTCGGATCGAACATTTATCCAACTATCCCTATCCTTATCCTATTTCCCAATATTCATGAAACAACAAAGTATATCTATTGATTTCTAAGCATGCGTATGTTTGTCTGTTCGTAACGCTGGTTGGCTACTGCAACATCTAAAGTTTCCGCAGCTGTCTCGCTGCTGATGTTCAGAGGTCAGTGACATACAGAGCCGCTGCTGTGAAATTATATAAAGGATACACACCTTCTCGGCAGCATCATCTAATTCCCTGGTCAGAGAGAGCACCCTGGTCTCCTTCTCCCTGGCCTCGTGCTCCGCCTGATCTCTCTCGGCGGCGTACCGCTCCGCCACGGCACGCTCTTCGGCCACCACCTGGTCACAACCAAACATAATTCATCTATATATTATAATACGTGAAGCAAAAACTTTGTACCCCTTTTTACGAAAATTGGGCGGATGGAAGAATATGGAATTTCCCCCTACTTATAGAGAATATAGAGAAAGAGTGCAGAATGTTAATATTTTATTAAATTGTGCATAAAAAATGCATTAAATCAATAAAAAACAAACATTACACACACTATCATGTATTTGACACACACACACACGCATGCATACTATTTATTTATTGTCAAACTTTTCTTATTGCTTATAGTCTGTGCTCAAATTGAGAATAGATTCAATATTGTTTGTCTTTATTAATATTTCTAAGTCTAAAGTGTAGTATTCGCGAAATCTGTGATTATAGAAGTTTAATAGTCTTTGACAATAGAATCATAATAGTGTACAAACTTATAATTTCAATTAATTATAGTCGAGTTTCGACCGCCGGGTGACCACTAGTAAAAATAAATTGGGATTATGATCCAACATGGATGGCGAGATGCCGTGAAGCATCATCATTTTTACTGGTGGTAGGACCTCTTTTGAGTCCACACGGTTAGGTACCACTACCCTGCCTATGTCTGCCGTGAAGCAGTAATGCGTTTCGGTTTGAAGAGCGGGGCAGCCGTTGTAACTATACTGAGACCTTAGAACTTATGTCTCAAGGTGGGTGGCCCATTTACATTGTAGATGTCCATGGGCTCCAGTAACCACTTAACACCAGGTGGGCTGTGAGCTCGTCCACCAATTTAAGAAAAAGAAAAAAAAGGCATTACAGTGACGCACAGGTGAGTGGATCTGTTGGAAACTGGCTACCGGAACTCATAGACATCACAATGTGTATACCACAACCTGTCTTGTGACGTGAAGTTAGAAAGAACAGTAGCACCCACCCGTGCCGGCGCAGAATACCCTACCACCTCTTCACTCTGGTGATCTGGTCAAGACATTAAACCAACTAAATTTGTTGTAAAGGTCGTTAACACGTGTACAAGTGTCCAAGTTCATAGAGCCTGTTGATATTGGTGACAATAAGTTTCAAAGAGTCCGTTACATAGACGGATGCGGGCCAAGAGACGGCGGTGGGTTGGGGGGGAGGTGTTCGTGGCGACAGGGAAGGGGGATACCTTATCGAAGCTCTTCTGTTTCTTCTCAAGCTCCAGAACTTTGGCTCGCTGGGCTTCTAGTTCTATGTTAGTGTCTTCCAGCTCGGCTTGAAGTTTCTTTTTACCTGAGGATAAACATTAAGAGTAATAAAGAGGTTAAAACTCCAGAGACGTCCCTCAATGGAGAATGAAATTTCGTAATTTTATTTATAAAATCATAATGCAACTTAGCTTAATAACCTAAAAGTACATATTGACGCTTGAAAGGTAAACGTAATTAAGCGAAAATAACTGCTTTGCCCATAATTGATAGACAATAACCATATTGCGCAAAAAATATATATTTCTAGGTCTATTAAAATAATTTCAATCCTACAGCTAGATTCGTTAAAATATATTTATTTTCAGGTATTTCAACTTTAAATTAGTCTACTGTAAAGTTCACGCATTGTCGCTTAGTCACGTTTGCCTTTCAAGCGTCGATATTATTATCCGCAACACGCTTCGTCAGATTATAGAAACAGGGTTATCAGCAACATGCTTCGTCAATGAAATGAAGTAAAATGATTGGTAGGCAGCGGCTTGGCTCTGCCCCTGGCATTGCTGAAGTCCATGGGCGACGGTAACCACTGACCATCAGGTGGGCCGTATGCTCGTCTGCCTACAAGGGCAATAAAAAAGAAAAAAAAGAGAATGAAATGTATGAAATAACACTGACTCTTGTCTAGTTTGTCGTTGGCCTGCTGCAGCTCGTCGATCTGTCGGTGCAGAGCTTCCACGTCCTTGCTGAGCTTCTTGCGCTGCTCCTCCAGGGCGGCCGCATTCTTAGCTTCCTCCTCTGCTTTCTTCTTCGCCTCGGACACTTGGACCGTTAGCGCCGTCACCTGCAAAGATACACAGAAGAGTGTTAGACAATTTATAATATGGATAAAAAAACTTTCATTTAGAACAAGAAGAGGGGAGAAGAGGAGATTACACCGATTAATACCAAATTAATTTTCTGGAGAGTGAAAGTTTTATTAATGACTAGCTGACCTGGCCGACTTCGTAATGCCTCAATCGATAAATAAAAGATCTAAACTTTTGTATAAAATAAACTTAAAACAAACAAAAGGAATCCGGTTGACACATCAAAGGAAAAACAAAATTGTTCTTATTATTTAATTCCGAGAATTTTCGTATTTATCTACCTTTTAAACCTTCCCTGGACTTCCACAAATAATTCAAAACCAAAATTAGCCAAATCGGTCCAGCCGTTCTCAAGTTTTAGCGAGACTAACGAACAGTAATTCATTTTTATATACATAGATAAGACTTTTTTTCATATAAATAGCAACGGAACAGCGGCAGTGGACAGCCGGTGTTTCTCCACGCCCGCTTAAGATTCTACCTGTTTTTCGAGATTTTTCTTAGCCTCCTCTTCTTCTTCGAGCTGATCGCGCGCCTGTTCCAACTCTTGTTCAATGTTGCGGAGCTTCGTCTGGAGGGACAGCTTCTGCTTCGTTTCTTCTTCCAAAAGTGCCTGATATGTAAGAAAGATTTTTTTAGAGCATTTAACAGTTTCAGACGAACGGCTTCACAGTTTTCTGAGTATCTCCGACTGCCTAGACCAGGGGTTCCCAAACTTATTTTGACTAGTACCCACTTTGAGAATAAATTATTTTTTAGCGCCCCCATTTTTTCACCTACCCAAAAACCACTACAGCGAGAGCTCAGTCGGTGTCTAAGTCCTCCTAAATTAAATTACAAATCGCCTCCCAAGCCTCTACACAACGCCCCCTTTTTATCTGAGTCTCGTACCACCCCCCCTTTAGGCCTGCAGCGCCCACGGGGGCGTTATCGTCCAGTTTGGGAAAGGCTGGCCTAGACCATAGGAACCGTTTCCAGAATGTTCTATTGGTTCCCAGTGGGTGGGAGATGGTACCTGCGCCTCCGTGAGCTGCGCGCCGATGGTAGCGGACTGCTTGACGGCGGCGGAGGCTTTCAGCTCGGCGTCCTCCAGCTGAGCCGCGGCCTGCTCCGCCTCGCTCTGCAGACGGACGCATTTCTCTTGGACTTCCGCTCTGTGGGATAAACAATGTTTTTTGTTTGATTCTTAATCTATCCTAACTCAATCTATCTCCTCAATCTATCTTCTCAATCTAACTTAATCTATCTTAAGATGGAGGGAGCCTAGAGATCAGTAATACAGATATTTTAACCTCGTACAGAATTCAGCTCTTTCAAAGGCTTACAAAATAAATTATAAGGTTAATTTCCATTTGCATTTGTAGTATACCTTTAAGAGAAAATAAATAAATTATAATTATTAATATCCAGAAAGAATCTTTGAACATTTCAATCCTATAAAAACAAGCAATAAATAAAGTCGTAGTTATCGTCGGCAGAAAGGTGTACATAAACAAAATTGGGTTCAGATGATCTTATTCAGCTTAGTCCCTATGCGGTTATCAGAAGACCTGTGGTGTACGACCCCCCAAGTGACTGCTTCTTAGTTGTAGTTATAGGTAATATATTGTAGTATTATTTAGAATTAGAATTTTTATGTTATGTTAATTGAAAAGTTATTTGTATTGTGGAATAAATAAATGTAATTATCATTATTATTCTTAACTTTTTTTTTCTCAGCAGACGCTGGTACGTATTTATTATTTACGGGCCTTAGCCAAGTAAATAATAAGGAATAAATATTTTTAATGTCCGTTACTTGAGTTTTCTTCTGTTTCTAAAAACAGTTCTACGGGTATTTAATATAGCAGCTTTTTGTAGTTGCGTGAAAGTGTTGGGTTTCAGATCAATTAACTTTTTCCTGGTATTATTATTATTATTATGTTGCTAAGGTGGACAGCATTGAGTCCGCCCCTGGCACCGACCTGGTCCTCTCGATGTCCTGCAGCTTGGCGGCGAGGTCGGCGAGCTGGGCCTCCGCCTGCTTCCGTTTCTTCTCGCCGTCGGCGCGGGCGGCGCTGGCGGACTTCAGTTCCGTGGCGAGGTCCGCGTTTTCTGCTTCCAGCGACTGCTTCGCTTTCTCAAGAGCTTTGAAATTAAAACAAAGTGTCAGAGCAACGATCCAGTGCACATAAGCTTAGAACGTCATAATAATGTTATAATTGAGACTTATAAGAGCGCAACCTCAGGTTGAGGGTATTCGTGTGCTGATACCTGTGGGATACGTCGACAGAGTGCTCAACTCAAAAATCTTAAAAATGATACTTAAAGCCCTTCATCCACTCATGTCTTCAATTCTTAAAAAAATATTTGTAGAATAATTCGTAAGGACTGCACTTCGAAGATTGTATAAAATGCCTCCTATTGTTATTGATAACTGTTGGGTTTGAATATGTTAATAATGGCAAGCAACACTTGTCACATGTGAAGTAACAGTTTTCAAATATCGGAATGTTTATTTAAATGTTTAAAACAGATTATTGTCTTCAGTCATGTCTTGTATTTGTCATCTAGACACGGACAGTGAAACATCTTAGGACCATAAAAATATAAAATATTGTTGTAATAGTGCAGTGTTTGTAATATATATATATCAACCATGAAGTCAGTATTATAAAATAGCCCTTCACCCCCAGAGCCCAGTCCCCTCAAATAGTACTACCAACAATAACTTTATCAATGTCAGTTTTGGAACATCTGATACTAGCTGTCCGGCCGCAGCTTCGCTGGTGCGATCCAGAAGCGCGCGAGTCAGCGACTACAATCTTTTTTTATTTGCCTTATAGGCAGACGAGCATACGGCCCACCTGATGGTGAGAGGTTACCGTCGCCCATGGACTTCAGCAATGACAGGGGCAGAGCAAACCGCTGCCTACCGTACACGACCTTCCCTTTTAATAACATGTTTGTACTACAATCGATCGATTCAAACTACCAATCAAATTAGCGCGCTCATCGCTTCGGCTGTTGTCAGCGCACCGGTGCTGCCAGTACTGCCTGGTGGAAGTGAAGGAGGCCCCCTCGTGGTGGGGCGGCGCCTCCACTACAACACTATCGTCTTTGCAAAAACCGAACTTGACGTTCTTCTGTCTGCGCTCTTTTACGTTCGACATCGTATTGTTCAGCGCATTAGCGTTTCAAAATTTTCTGTATTTTTTTTTATATGTATTATATAAAAAATAAAAATAAAAAGGTGAATTTATGAAAAAATAATCTAAAATAATTTGACAATGACTGTCTAAATACACTTCATTTTGAAGTATTATGTCAAATTAACAAAAAGGTTTTTTTTATTTCATTTCGATGAGTTTGTTGTTTGCTGCGCACAATATATTAGATTTATATATTAGTATAGATTCGTAAATAGCACGTACATAAGTGCACCTTTTTTTTTCTCCTACCTAAGCTGAGAGCCTTGAGAGGCTATATCAGCGTCGCCTTAACTAGTAGGTGAGCTCACGGGGCTCAAACCTGACGACGTTGCTAACACGAACCCTAGCAAGAGCCGTGCTTCGCAGAATCTACCACCGGATCGGAAACACGACGCACTGAGAAGATTCCGCGAGAAACTCAGTGGGCTGTGTCTGAGGGTTAATTTACCGGTCGAGCCCTTCCTCGCAAGCGACGGGTTCGACGAGAACGATGACCGGTGGTTGAGGTACCTAAAAGAACCGTTAGTGGATCGGGAGGATCCGAAATGATGTGTTTGTGCACCAGCAACGCAATGGCTACGTAACTCCATGTGACGTCACCGCTCAAGGTACGTGGATGTATATAAATGACTCACCAGCTTTAGCCTTTTTGAGTTGCTCCTGCTGCTCGTTGAGCGCCTGCAGGTCGAGCGAGTGCTTGTGGCGCTGCTGCGTGAGCGCCGCCTCGTGCGCCGCCGCCTCCTCCTCCAGGCTGCGCTTCAGCACCGCCACCTCCTGCTCGCGCTTCGACCGGAGCTCCTGTTGGGCTGCACCACTCCACTGTCTCAATTACTACGCACGCTTCTAACGCTCGCAGCGGTGTCGTCGGCGTCATCGTATTTGTGGGGACACGATGACAGTAGCAGATTAGTGTAGCAGATAAACTTTTGGACACTAGCAATATCACAAGCAATTGAATATGCAATTTCGAAAAGGGCACATCTCTGAAAATGTAAAATGTTCAGGAAATGAAAAAAGACTCGATTATTTTCTAAAGCAGTGTATAATTTAAAATATTAACTTTTAAGATATATTTTAGTGTTAATTAGCAATTGAAAATTACTGGAATTATTCGAAAATGGGTGTAAGCCTCAAAACTACATGTATATGAAAAAACGTATTTGACAAAATATGTGACATGTGCCCTTTTCGAAGTTGCATATTCAATTATAGTTTATTTAATATCTTGTGACGTCATTAGACGAAATTAAATCTACAGCACAGTGGTGGTCGGCGAGAGGTCCTTCGGCACGCGTCGTGCTGAGAATGTATCTCATTTCAAATATTTAAAATTTGGTAGGCAGCGGCTTGGCTATGCCCCTGGCATTGCTGAAGTCCATGGGCGACGGTAACCACTGATCATCAGGTGGGCCGTATGCTCGTCTGCCTACAAGGGCAATAAAAAAACAAAAACGATGTAATGTCATGTCAATTAAAAAAATCTTTAGTTTAATTTAGTTGTGGTAAAGAGTACAGAGCCGGTGGCGCGCACCTGCGGTGGTGTCCAGCGAGTCGAGCAGCTCGCTCTTGAGCGCCTCGAGCTCCTCGTTGAGGTCCCTGCGCAGCTTCTCTGCCTTGGAGCGGGCGGCGCGCTCGGCGTCCAGGTCGTCGTGCAGGTCGGCCAGCGCCGACTCCGCCTCGCGCGCGGCCTTCTGCGCGGCGGCGCGCGCGGCCGACTCCGCCTCCGCGCGCGCCGCCGCCGCCGTCACCTCCTCCTCGCGCTTCACTGCACAACAACATCGTACAGTTACTCACATATACACATCGACGCTTGAAAGGCAAACGTGACTAAGCGACAATGCGTGAACTTTACACTAGACTAATTTAAAGTTGAAATACCTGAAAAAAATCTATTTTAACGAATCTGTAAGATTGAAATTATTTTAATAGACCTAGAAATATATATTTTTTGCGCATCGAATATGGTTATTGCCTATCATTTATGTATAAAGCAATTATTGTCGTTTAGTCACGTTTGCCTTTCAAGGGTCGATATATACTTAATTATGATAATTATAAATATGATTCCCTTTTTTCTTTTCTTTGAAATCTACATGTTAAGGTCTCATCTCTGACTATGATCAAATACCAAACATTTGTAACAAAAATCAGAGATCAGTAATTGAAAGAGATGGTGGAACCCGATCCGAATCAAACTACCCAAGAATTAGCGGCACGATTTAACATTACCTTACCAACAATACAGTCTCATATGCATCAAATCAAAAAAAAGAAAAAAAAAGAAAAATGGGTGCCTCATCATTTGACTGATCTACAGAAAGAAAAGCGTTTTGAAACTTGTGTTGCCTTGTTGAATCGATACTGACATGAAGGGATATTGAATCGAATTCTAACATGTGATGAAAATTGGATTCCAATCCAAGTAGTTCAGCCGGAAATGTAACCTGAAGCCTTGGATTGACGGTAACCAACTATTACTAGTACACCGCCTCAGTGAGTCAGACCGAGGTGGCCGGGTAGTGGGGCGGCCCTACGGCGGTTACATGAGGACCCACGGCGAGTGTGGGGACCGACCGAGTGCAATCTGCAACTCCTCGAGCTGCGCCTTCCTCTCCACGAGCTGCTCCTTCACGTCCTGCAGCTCCGTCTCCAGTTTCCTCTTGGCTCGGTCCACTTCTTGTCGCATTTGGTGATCCTACAAACAACGACCAACTTCATAAAATAACATGATTATCTTAAAAATTTTTTTTTGTTGCTCAGATGGGTGAACGAGCTCACAGCCCACCTGGTGTTAAGTGGTTACTAGAGCCCAAAGACATCTACGACGCAAATGCGTCACCCATCTTGAAATATGAATTCCAAGGTCTCAGTATAGTTACAACGGCTGCCCCACCCTTCAAACCGAAACGCATTACTGCTTCACGGCAGAAATAGGCAGGGTGGTGGTACCCATCCGCGCGGACTCACAAGAGGTCCTACCACCAGTAACAATACCAGAAAGAAATTTAATATCAACATATTTTTGAAGCTCTCCTTATATTCATTAATTCTCCAGCTATTTGTTGTCTTAATAATTGTATCCTTGTGAACTATTTATATAAAGCTACATATAACTTATACTTATTTAGAAAAAACAACTGAATTTTACCTTAAGTAATTTCTCTTCAAGTTCGGCGATAGCAGACTCCTGTTTGGCCTTGAGTTTGCTCAAATGTTTGGCCTTCTCTTCTTCTTCGGCCAACGCTTGGGACAAATCGTTGGCCCGTTCCTCCAAAATCTATTAATAATTAATGACGTATTAATTTGATAAACAAATTTAAGTACGTATCCATTTCTTTCATTTGCTAAATATGTACTTAGTCATATAACAGAGAGCCATAGACATCAGTAGACTAAAATTGAACTAGTACATTCTCAACTTTTATATTAGACAAATAATCTGAGTAACGCTGACAATCTGTTAACATTTTAAATAATACTAGCCGTATTCGCCCGTATCGCTGGGCATTATTTAAAATTAACATTATTATTTATTGTCATTATTATTAGGGAGTCCAACACTCATATAAATATTAGCCTATCCATTAAGTACATGTATTTTCTACATGGATATCAAGTTTCAAGTCAATCGGATGCATGGTTCAGTAGTTATAACGGAATATCCGTAAAAACCACTGTAGATTTATATATTAGTATAGATTAAAGATAGATATATTTTACAATATCATTGTATAGGTTCAAGTAGAGGGGAGGTGAAGCAATGTTTCAGTTCACCCACCTTCTTCTCCTTGACAAGTTTCTGGTTGGTGTCATCGCTCAGGGCGAGGTCCTCCTCCAGCTTCTTGATCTTGGAGTCGCACTGGACACGCTCCAGCTGCAACTTTTGACGGGCCGCCTCTTCTTCTTCCAACTGTTCTTCCAGGTCCTGAAAATTTAAAGGTAAATATTGTTCTTATTTCATTGGCGGATTTGGAAACGTCAAATTATAATCCGATAGAAATAATGTTTTATTTGAGTCAAGATCTGCGCAGTGTTTACTTGTGACCAGAAGCTACAGGTTATGGGTTTATGTGGGCTGGGGCGAACATCAGCACTGATGGTTTGCCATCCCCATGAATAAGGCTTACGTGATCCTTTATACCAGGGGTTCCCAAACTTATTTTGTCTACTGCCCACTTTGATAATAAATTATTTTTTGGCGCCCCCATTTTTTCACCTACCTAAAAACCACTACAGCGAGAGCTCAGTCGATGTCTCAGAGTTTTCCTAGATGAAATTACAAATCGCCTCCCAAGCCTCTACACAACGCCCCCTTTTTTATCTGAGTCTTTTACCGCCCCCCTTTAGCAGCGCCCACGAGGGAGCGTTATCGCCCACTTTGGGAGACTGCTTTATACTGACACATACAAATCGATATTCGTAAGTGCACCCCGGGCCGTCGCGCCGTACCTGTATATTCAGCTGGAGACGTTTCTTCTCCTGCTGCAGAGCATTGCATCTCTCCTCCTCCTCCTCTATCCGTCCCTCGAGGTCGTGCAGCAGCTCCTCCAGCTCCTGCTTCCTGGCCGCGGCGCGAGCTCGACTCTCTTCCGCTTCGGCGCACAGTTCCAATTCCGCCTGAAACAATTCATTACATACTCTTGAATATTAACTTTCGTAGCATTTAAATAAGTTTATATATATATTTTTTTTCTAATAATTACCATTACATTAATGTAATAATTGAAACATGGAATCGTAAAGAACATAAATGAACATATCATATTATTTATTTTTAGCTGTTAATGTACATTTGGCATCGATATATATATATCGATTACATTTGGATATAATTTTACCGTCATTTCTTAACAATCCCTGCACATAATATCGATTTATATTTACAAAATCAAATGATTCTACAATTTTTTTGATATAGCGTTTTTTTCCCCTTTTTAATTTATTAGCAAAAGACCTTCCTTGGTCGAAGTGGATGCAGAAAAATATCTGATCAGAACACTGACCTGCAATTGTTCGGCGAGCTGGGTCTTCTCAGCGGTAGCCTGCTGGTACTTCTGCTCCAACTCCTGGGACCGTTTCGCCTGGGTTTCGAGTCTCTCGCGTATCTGACGTAGCTCATCCTCTTTCTGGGTGAGTTTCTCTTCTTGTTTCGTTACTTCTAGAAGGGGTTTCACCTGCAATAATAATTGTTATTATATTTATCAGAATGATGAAGTAATGAATTTGTATCTTAAAGAACAGCGTAGTGCAAATAATGGTGTTGAGCGCGAGTCGGCACTGGTGTGCGGCAGATTCTGCCGCGATGCACTTGTTGCTATACATTATTGAAGTTTCGAAAACTCGTGATTTAAAGAACGGTAAACTTAAACACACGTGATGTCTGAGGGCTCCATTTCAGGCTAGCCAAACGTGAATAATTATCGTTATGCGATTTTGTTTTTATTATTACATTCCTAATGCGAGCCACGAGGCAGCACTACTCATCGTACTATAGGACAATGATTATTATTCACACGGATAATATATATTTTGCGAAAACAGAAACTGTCCGTATTTACATAACTCGTGTGGTTACTCGATAATATTATTGTATAGCGGTGTATTATGCAATATACACACACACGCACACCTATAGCATGTAGTTAAGTTACCGTGTAGTAGATCTCATAGGCAGAAGGTAAACGAACTATATGTCTGGGGAATACAGGTAGGTGGCGCATTTACGTTGTAGTTGTCTATGGGCTCCAGTAACCACTTAACACCAGGTGGGCTGTGAGCTCGTTCACCGATCTAAGCAATAAAATAAAAAAAAAAAAAAAAAAAATACACCAGTGTTCACCCGGTAATCAAAATTCGACCATAATCACTGACTCCTCAAGATTTCGATTCGTTTTACAAGGTTTTAAATTTTTCTTTGACATTTAAAAGAAATACTTCCATATAATATATATTATATTAATAACATTAGAACTCGTAATGGGTACAAAACAAAATAAAATAAATAAAATCAATCGAACAAACTGAAGAGAAGGCGGTACTAAACTGTTTTGACTTTGTTTTGTTATATGGATTTTAAATTAACAATTGTATTTGTAACATATAAGTCATAAAAACACTTCAATTTCATATAATTTCCCAGATCAGTAAGCATGAATATCGCTTTTGGGCGGATACCAGATTGGATACCAGATTTTAAATTTTGGACATCCGACTTGCCTTAGGTGTCCATAAATATGTATAAATAAATAGGTATAAATAAATTCTCGCTTACCTTAATATACAGTCTCCACCACTGCCAATTCCTCAACTTGAGATACGCAGCGCAGTTCCTCTGAATGATCCGAATGGCGTTGAGTTGCTGGAGTCTCTTCTGGTAGTTCCGCCGGGCCAGGTAGCCGCGGCAGAACGCCTGGAAGTTGACTATCAAGTCCGTGATCTTGTAATCCCTCTCCTCTTCCAGGTGAGCCAGCACACCGGCCCTGAAGAATATTTTCGACTGACCAACTCTGTACAGATTGTGGTCCAGCTCGAGAGCCTCGATCATCTGTTCGCAGGCCTTCTTTCCGTCCATGAAACCTTTAGGAATGATGTTCGGAGTGAGGAGTTCATAGCGCTGCCTGAACTCTTGGAACGGAATCCTGTTCGGGAAGCCCTGTCTGCAAATTCTGATGCCCTCGAGGACACCGTTGCACCGCAACTGGTCCAAGACGAGGGGCGCCTCAATCTTTCCTGCTTTCTTTTCATGGTTGGGAATGATGCACCTCACAAAGTTCGGATTGGTGTTCCTCAATGTGGCCATCAGTTTAGTCAACTGCTCCTTATACAGTTGGGAGACAGTCCTGAACATTCCTTTGCGCGTTCTTGCACCGAACTGCGTGTCGGTCATCGCCTGCTGCGCCATGCCGACAATCTCAGCGTCCTTCCAGATGTGACAAACGAAAGGATCCTGCGAGTTCTGAAGAAGCGACACGACGTTCTCGTTGAGCGGGTCCATGTTCTTCATGAGCCACTGGGCGGCTGAGTAGTCCACTTTACCGGCGTAGTGAATGATGGCGAAGTCTGCCACGCCGCGGAAGTCAGTCTTCATAAACTTCGGGTGCACGGAGTGGGCCGACACCAACTTCTCGACGAAGGTCTTGTCTGTCGCCTTGGGGAACCAACATTCTTCATCGAGCAAGGCCATGATGCCCATGGGTTTGTCGATGAGATCGATGGTCGGTTGGAGATCGAGACCGAAATCAATGAATTTCCATTCGATTCCTTCGCGCTGATACTCTTCCTGTTCCAATATAAACATAGTGTGGTTGAAGAGTTGCTGCAACTTCTCGTTCGTGTAGTTGATGCAGAGCTGTTCGAAGGAGTTCAATTCGAAGATTTCGAACCCTGCCATGTCGAGGATGCCGATAAACGAGGCGCCTTGTCTCTTTGTCCTGTCCAGAGACCTGTTGATCCTGTTCACCAGCCATCTGAACAAACGTTCGTAGCAAGCTTTACCGATAGCTTCAACAGAAAACTCAACTTGTTCCTTGGTTTGTGCTTTTGTGACGAAATCGCGACCCACTTTAATTCTCGGTTTCAAGAAAGCCTTCGTCATTTCCGTTACGGAAAGACCTGTAACATGTAAGGTACATTTGTCATACAAGTGTTAAACAACATCAGTACTTTGTGTTTGTCTAGTTGAGCAATGGAGCTCTGGTGTCAAGTGGCTACTACCGGGGTCAATTTACATTACAGCCTGTATACCACTACCCATCTTAAGGCATGAGATTGAAGTCTCACTTGTATTATAACGGCTGTTCTACCGTCACCCTGACTCCAGTCTATCACTAATGAGCTGTCTTATCCGAAGATCGGACGCGGGTTGTTGATCCAAAAGGGTTTTTAGTCCGTTCATATCAGACATACTTTGCATACCGTCCCCGACGTTTAGGCGAAAGCCCTTCGCTTTTTTACAATAAAATAATTTTTTCTTACACTATTTTTAATTCAAATTTATTTTCTATTTTTTAGTTGGATTTTCTATAAAAGCGGATTTTGTTAGTTTTTTTAAACTATTATTTATTTTTCAGTTTTTAGTTGAATAAAATTCAATTCACAATTCTTTAATAAAAAAAAAACAATTTTTTTTAAATATTGAATTGTCATTGGTCCTTAATAAGTATACCAAATTTCGAGTTAATCCGACGTTTTGAAGGGGGTCAAAATCATGTTCAAATATTCCGTTACAAACATACATACACACATACGTCTGAAGCTAATAAAAGCGTATTAAAATGGTCGTTTAAGTAATTTTGAAATCGCACTCGAATTTATATTCTAATACAACATATACGTACGTAATCATTTCACGTTGGAGTACATTTGAGCAGCCGTCAATACCAAGGCAGTGAACAAGACAAAAGATCATAACTCACCAAGTAAATGCGCGATTTTCTGCGCCACGGTGTTGTCGGGCAACGTGGCTTGATCCGAATTCCTTTCTTGCTTGAACTGCATCGACCCGAACAGGAGAACCGCTGAGACTATCCTAAATATCGAATTGAAGTCCTCGTTGTTCATGCCCATGATGTTCATTGACTTCATGGTGGCCTGGTACTCGGCCGCGTCATCGATGCCGGGCACCGGTAGAGCGCCGCTAGATAAAAACGGGTAGCTTTTCGCATCTTCTAGAATGAACTCGGCTTTCTGCTGCGGGGTCGCTCCCGTCAGCAGCTGATAGAAGATGTGGAATGTCCTCTCGTCCTTCGCTTGTCTTATGGCCCTCGACTTTTCTAATAAATACGTTTCGATGTTGGCACCGGCTATGAAACCGGACGCGTCGAAGTTTATCCTTATGAATTTACCCTGAAATTTAGCGCTAGTTTTAATAAAATCTTAATATATGTAAATTACGTGTCACGTTGTTTGTCCGCGATGGACACCTAAACTACTGAACCGATTTTAATATTTTTTTTAATATATGTTTTATTCCAACACTTAGGTCATAGGGTGGTTTTTATTTCGATTAATGGTCGCAATATTTATTAATTAACGATACTACGATTTCTTATGCTGTTTTAAAACCTTATCCACAGCAACGTGTGGCAGGGCTAGTACAATTATATTTTTTCTAATTGCTTGATCTTCTAAAAATCTACAAATGTTCACATTAAAATCTCTAATATAGAATAACACAAAAGCTTGTATTCGGTACAATAATCATAGGTTAAAACCAAAATTTTTACACGACAAATAACTTTATCCGATACTTACGAATCTAGATGAGTTATCGTTTTTGACCGTCTTCGCATTACCGAACGCCTCCAATATCGGATTGGCCTGCAACAATTGCTGTTCCAACTCGCCCTGCACGAAAACAATATCATATAAGTAAAATAAAATATGGAGCTACATACAAGCACTATTAATAATGAATTTCACGAAGCATTCAGGGTTTAAAGTTACTTAACTTTGTAATTATCTAAAAGGTTATGTGTTTGAGTTTTTCAAGCTTTAATTCAAAATAATTTATTGGTACGAAAGTAAGAGTAATAATATTCAATTTCTGAACGTCAAATGTCAGCGAGCGACGCCCGCCATGACACTATTCCTCATTCAAATCCAGTCGCCAAGAGCGACGCATCGATTTTATATTTCTTTTAAATTCAGTCTTTAATTTGTCATATAAGGACAAATAAATATCTCAAAAACTATAAATACATTCCGCGCTCAATTACCGCAACGCAACAAATAAACTACAATTTTCCAATTATGAAACAGTAAGATACACTGATTCTGAACTGAAACTGATTTTAAATGATGCAACAGAAGCACTGACTAGACTTGGAACGATGACGTCATACGCTATCAATGTTTACCTCGTATGTAGGTCCACTCTACATTATTTAGTTAGCATGAAACCAAGGGTTGTAATTTCGATTAAAGCTGTTATTAGGTGATACAAAATGAAGAAGCCGATCCAAATTCGTATGGGTTATATAATGGATGAGCGACCAGACTTATTCATATACAGCTAAAGTTAATGCCCTTACAAATTACAATTGGCTTTGATCCCTTAAGAGGCTGGAGCAACTTAATGTTTAATTGAAGCATAACTATTGCTATTGTAGACATTAAATGCACTGAGAGACGCTAGAGAATAGACTGGACACCAAAAAATTAACTAATTGAAACTATGTGTTGTAATTAGCGTATATAATATATAACCTTTATATGATTCTGACGTTCAAACACAATCGAGAAAATGTGAATATTCTCAATTAAAATTGCAAGAAAACACGAATAGTTTTAGAGAAACCAAAAAATATCCACATGTACAATAGTTGCATGCAATTAATATGAATAAAACATAATATGAGTAAAGAAATAGTTATCAAGAAGCAATATGTGATGAATTTTATTTGTATTTCAATTAAAATGAAAAATAAATAAGATACGATTGACAAAACTCACTTTGATAAGCCAACAAAAAAACTAATTGCATCTGTGTGCGTATGTGTTTGTGTGGGAATTTCTTTTTTTATTGCATAAATCGTTTTAATCATGTGGGTCATTTAAATTCTTTATTATCCATTAATAGGTACATATATACAAGGAAATATCCACACACAATCATAGATAGGCATATATATGTAGCCTTACTCACAACAGAAGATACTAATATAACCCAAATTAAAAATAATTCCATATAATATTCATCACATATTAGAAGTATTACAGGCAAGCGTATTAGGCGGGTTTTTTTTTCATTCGGTCTCCCGACTGATCTTGGCGCCCGTTTTACTCAGATCATGCGTGTGTGAGATATTTACGTGTTTGACTTACTATAATCAGCTGTGGCGACGGTCCCTGGTGTCAGCAACGGATCACGGGAGAAGAGAGAAATAAAATAATTAATTAGTTCTGTGTAGGAAGGAAACTTAATCCAAAATTTGTTTTAAGAAAATAGACACTTTGACGGCTTTATCAGGACTCTTAAATATATGGAAAGAAAAATATGTACATAGTCTAAAACATATGACAGAATTTTGTAATTAAAAAAATAATAACGAAACCGTACAAGTATTTTAATAGTCTCTACGATTCCCCAAAGTCATTACTTTAAGATTTGTCGGATGAAAAATATACTGGCTCAAGATTCATAGCATAATTGTTTCGATTTTTAATTGTGTAAAATGCACACTTGTAGCAATTTTGAATTTAATGTATTTATAGATAAATTTACATATTAACTAGTTCGGATTACATTCGGATCATCAGTCTAAGTAGTAAATACACCCCTTCTCCGTGGATGATCTTTTCTTAATATAAATTTGGAAGCTCGTATCTCGAGGTGGGTGCCAAATTCAATATCTATGCGCTCCGATACCAATTTGGACAAGATGGACCTTCAATTCGTCTGCCGATCTACCATAATATTGTGGCTGTTCCTGTAAAACTTACATATATATTTTGTAATTTGATTTTTGTCGGATATAATATAATTGTTTCTGTATACACCTAGCTTATTTATGCGTGTGATATTTTGACAATTTTGATTTCTTGTTCCATAAGCCACGATTATTTAATTTAATTAATACATGCTATGATAATTAAATCGCTTCACTTGTATATTTTTCATCTGATAAAGAATTCTCGTGCTGTAACAATATTACCCATGCCACCTCCAAGTGCAGGTGTACTGATAGAACTTTACAATATCTAGCATAAGACACTTTATCTAGTTTTATTTATACAATATATCGAGACATTGAAGTTCTTAGACAGACTTGTCGGAATTTAAACAAAATACAAATATAAATAAATAAGTATCATAATACAAAACGCGAATATCAAAAAGTTTACGAAAATTGTTTTTGAATAACAATTTAATCAGGGTTACTACATCTAGCGTTTTTTTTTTATTATAAAACTCTTGACATATATAATGTGTGCTTTATTTAGTGGTGAGTAGGCAAAATAGATAAACGCTTCTGAGTCCCGGGTATGAGACTAGCGTAATACAGGTATCTACTAAAATCCCTAGCAGGGTTGTCAGCCCTTTTAGTTTCGTCATTTTTTTCTTTTTTGAATCCAATTTGATCTACGATTAATTAGCACCAGTGAGCATATTATAACTAAAAACAAGACTAGCTAATTACCGAACATTGTTTTTTTTTGCAATAATCAACAAACTAGCTGTTTTGCTCTCAAAAAATACTCTTACCCTTATGCGATAGTCAAACCAATACACGTGTGACCGCTGACAAAAAAATATATAGTACCATATTAATATGCTTCAAAGTTTTAATTATTTCAGGTAGGTGGAGGAAACATACCACTATGGTTATGACTTTAATACCCAGATTTATTCAGTAAGAACTGAAATTGTTCATATTTGTTTTATTCGGGGCGACAGCAATAGACTTATAAATATAATTTAAATTATCTTGCTTCTTTTCAAAATTTTGACTGTTGTGTTCCCATTTCAGAGGGGCGACATTTCAGCGAGGCTTTGAATTTAGGATTTTAATCTAATAAAACTATCCTAGCACTCTGTAAAGGCTTCGGATAATAAGGCGCATAACATCTGGCCACTGCAATGATACTGAATAACGACCACGACCACTCTGAGTTTTTTTTTCCTACCTAAGCTGATAGCCTTGAGAGGCTATTCCAGCGAAACCTTGACTAGTAGGTGAGCTCACGGGGCTCAAACCTGACGACGTTGCTAACACGAACCCTAGCAAGAGCCGTGCTTCGCAGAATCTACCACCAGATCGGAAACGCGACCCACTGAGAAGATCCCTCGAGAAACTCAGTGGGCTCCACTCTGACAAGGGTGATATGACAAAGGAAAAAAGAGTCTCCGAATAACTTACCGCTCCTGATCCTTTAGGTTTCGAAGCGGCGACGTACGCTAAGTACTGTATGACCTTTTTGGTGTTCTCCGTTTTACCAGCGCCCGACTCTCCGGTGCAGAGTATGGATTGGTCTTCGCGATCTGCAATAACCACATGGAGCGTTTACAGAAAACAATTACGTTTTGGTTTTTTTGTAAACCGTCTACAAGCATTCTTCACATCTCGAAGCCTGCAAGGTTCGTCAATCAGATTGGGCGCTACTAATGCTCAGAAGGCTTTACATGAAAGGGTGTACCAACAATCAGGTGATACTTATCAAAACGCAACTATCGCTACTTAAGTTGCCTTTTTCATATGAGCAGGTGAGATCACGGCACAAGGCGTAGTCCCCTGCGAGGGATTGGGGGAGGTGGAGGATCTTTGCCCTCCTCGTCTCCTTTTTCCTCTCTAGAGGTACCAGAATCCGACATAATTCGGTCCATTACCCCCCTCGAGCGGAATTCTTTTATGCTAATAACTATCCCCTAATTTAACTAGTAGGCCATATTCAAAACCTGCACAGACAAAGGTACCACCACATTTCTGTTTCTTCCTTGAACCATTTCGTTCTGAAGGAAAGGACGAACGCAATACAGTGCTATTCGGACTTCCACCTCAAAGTGGCAGCGGCATTCAAGTTGTGATTTCTATAGACCAGTAAACGTCTAGAACTGGGTATTTTTATAATTTATTTTATTGCCCTTGTAGACATTGGGTTAATAAAAAGAAATGAAAATAAAAGAACAACCTACGCACAAACTGCTAAAATATTATCGGTAATGACTTTACCGTGTTTGAGTTCAGAAACACGTTACGTCCATGAGTCGAATGATAAGCAGACCAGTTTACGAGCGACTCGTTTGCCTAATTGTTCACTGATGGCCCCGCGTACTGATGATACCAGACTATGGCTTATGGGACGTCTGCGTTGGGTGTCGGACGTTCGCCAGTACGCACTTTTCGTTTTTGTATTATTTATGGAACTTCTTCAGAATACGTATATATTTATTTAGAAACTCTGATTCTCAAATCAAAAAGGAGATTTTTTTAAATTTGATTTCAGATTGTGATATTCATTCGTTTCTCCAAAACATAAAATATCATATTAATTAAATATTAAAGGGACTGCCATCGACAGGGATTATTCACAGAACAAGACAATTAAATAAGACTGAGAAAAATATACGCGTGAAGTTAATAATAAAGAAATAAGTTTCTAACTTATAAATTACTAACTTAAACTTAATAACTTAGAACTAGGCCAAATCTAGGTATATCTATTCGAATATTAAACACAAGATATGTGTTTGCGATGCTAGCAATGCTGAAGCGATTTAAAAAAAAGCAATCCTGCTCAAGGTCATCATACCTTGAAGCATGGAGCGATACGCCGTGTCGGTGATGGCGAAAACGTGTGGAGGTACTTCATGCCTCTTGATTCCTTTGTATCTCTCCATGATCTTCTCCGTGTATATCGGCAACTTCTTGTACGGATTGACGACCACACAGAAGAGGCCAGAGTAGGTCTGTGGACAAAAACATTAAAGAACATTAAAATCATTTTACAACATTTCATTATTATTTTTATTGCTTAGTTGGATGGACGAGCTCACAGCCCACCTGGTGTAAAGTGGTTACTGGATCCCATAGAGATCTACAACGTAAATGCGCCACCCACCTTGAGATATAAATTCTAAGATCTCAGTATAGTTACAACGACTACCCCACCTTTCAAACCGAAACGCATTACGCATTGCTTCACGACAGAAATAGGCAGGGTTGTGGTACCTACCCGTGCGGACTCAGAAGAGGTCCTACCACCAGTATATATTCAATGATATATCAAAATAATCAGAACGTTTCAATCCTAAAGATGCTTAGAAATAATCGTTGTCAGATCGTCGATTGTAAATTTTACAACAATAGCAGACGTAAGCAATGGACGAGCCAGATTAATAAATGAAATTAATAAAACCAAAATCAATTAATTACCATGTTTTTTATACTTGTCCGTCCATCTATCGGAGTGTACATTATTCATAGCTACAGAAATTCTCACAGCTATCGTATCGAGTCATATGAATGCGAAATATCGTAACCGGCATCGGCAGTGAAATACAGCAATAAATCTTAATAAATTAAGTGTCATACTTTTTTTATATATTTAAAAAAGATATTACTACGGATAGATTTAGTACCAATCTCCGAAGTGTGAACAATTACTTAATTAGTGGTTTGCACAGTAAAAAGAGGCATGGTTCCCCTTGTGTGGGTCTCCTCTTATTTTTTTTTTTGTTATTGCTTAGATGGGTGGGCGAACTCACAGCCCACCCGGTGTTAAGTGGTTACTGGAGCCCATAGACATCCCCAACGTAAATGAGCCACCCACCTTGAGATATGAGGTCTCAAGTAATAGTTACAACGGCTGCCCCACACTTCAAACCGAAACGCATTACTGCTCGTTAATCATATTAACCATGTCTCGTTCGCCTGCTGAACTCCTCATTTCTGAGTCTATCAAAATATTGTTAACACCCTGACAGGCTTCCGACCGTGAGGACTCATGTCATCCATCGATGACATAAAGCTGGACGATAGTAATCCGATACATTATCAAACGGACGGTCGTCGATATGGTGGTATACGATCGGCGCGCTGATAACTCGATGGCCGTGAAGAAAGTGATTTGACGTTACCGGTTCTTGAATACCAACGCTTCGAACGCAATAACAGGAATTAATGAAATATAACGAATACTAGTGGTCCCGCAGTAGTCGAAATTCGACTATAATTAATTGAAATTATAAGTTTGAACATTACTCGTATTATGATTCTATTGTCAAAGCCTATTTCTATAATCACATATTTTGCCAAGACTACACTATAAACAAATAATATTAAAGATAAACAATATTAACCTATTCTCAATTATTGGGCCACATACTTTGAGCAATAACAAAAGTTTGACAATAAACAAGGAGTATATATGTGTGTGTCAAATACATGGTAGTGTGTGTAATGTTTTTGTATTGGTTTAATGTATTATTAATGCACAATTTAAAAAAAAAAAATTGCATTCTGCACTCCTTCTCTATATTCTCTATAAGTGTGGGAAATTTCACACTCCTCCGTGCGCACAATTTTCGTAAAAAGGGGTACTAAGTTTTTGCTTCTCGTATTAATATATAGATAATTTTAGGATACGATGGCGTGTTGATGAACCAGACTACCGCAGCACGAGATCTGAGTTCAATTGACTATATCAGGTTGATATGGAATTTACATGGTATTCGTGTTCTGAACGTGCATTTGTTATCGTCTCATATGCATTTCTGGCACACATCAAACTTAATAATTCTTTGCCTGTCATTAAATGGGCACCCATGATTGCTTCGCGCCCGCGTTAGTCGAGTTAACAGAACCTACCCGCGTTAACTTAGAAAAGTAATAACTTCTATCTGGTCTATAACGAATTGTTTTCCGATTGCGGTTTATGTTATTGATGCTATCAAAAATTGTTCTCTCAAATGTAAATGAATTGTTTTTGTGGTTTACACGAGACGACACGACCGATTAATATTCATCAACGATTTTTAGACCACATGATTATTTTTAAATAAACGACATCTATATTTAAAAAAAATCATTAATACAGCGTACTGTGTGCTCAGTGCGTGTTTTTTATCGTTCTCGATAGCGTAAAAGTTAACTCAAATATGATGCTGTTCGAACAGCGCCCCTAGCGGCAAACGTAAACAAACGTTCCAACTCCATACAAATTTGAGTTAACTTTTACGCTATCGCGAACGTTATACAACTCGCTCTAAGCACGCTGGTGCCTTCGCGTTTTATATTTCAATAATAGTAAGGTCGGGTCACTACGTAGATGACGTTACATCAAGATGTCTGTGGACTTCAATATCAATGAAGTACAGTGGTAGACTTTTTGGCGTTAACGCGAGGAGTGAAGTTGTGGGATATGTTTTATTTTGTCTATTTAGTGTTTCTTCAAGGTTCAATGTGTAATAACAGTGGTTTATTAACTTTTTAGTATCTGTGAAAGTGCACAAATGTGGGAAAATGAAACAAAGCCGCTGAACGTAACTTCTCGGGCTCCTCCAAAAAGTCCACTGAAAAAGTCTCAGTAAATGACCACCATTTTACTGAGATTATATTTCATCCCATATATCATCTCATCTCATTTCGTTTCGTTTCATTCCATGTTTCATATTAATCAGCTTCATTTCATTTCATAATATCATTTTTCATATAAAGTTTTCATTAAAATTAAAGTAAGAATTGACCTAAAGGTCTTAGTTACCAGGTCATAAAATCACTTAAAAAAAAAAGTAATTATTTCATAAATAAATTCGGAAAAGTAAAAAAAAAAACGAGCATAGTATTTCTCACTTATTTACATCTAACTAATAGTTTACACGCTACTTTACTAACGAGCGGTCGAAACAAAAATTCCTGTACCCGTTATGAATGAAATCATAATTTGGATTGGAGCGATGCCAGACACGATTTGTCACAAAAGCCACAACTGCAGTTTACAAACAAAACATAAAATGAAACTTAATGAATATTAAAGGTCATAACATGACGGTTTGTCTGTTGTATTGTAGATTTAACATTTCAGTCAGGAGCGATTTGACTATGCTGCATTACATATAATTATACCTTCTTTATGGAAATTTCGGGAAACTAAAAAATACGTATATTACCGAAATTATGTTGAAGTTAAGAAAATACATTTTAACTGTCATGATTCCCGGTGGTTACCTCAAAAACTGTGAGCTCAGATTTAAAAATTATAAATTCGATATAGAAGGTCGTATTATGCTTTTTTTTTCCTACCTAAGCTGGTAGCCTTGAGAGGCTATTCCAGCGTAACATTAACTAGTAGGTGAGCTCACGGGGCTCAAACCTGACGACATTGCTAACACGAACCCTGGCAAGAGTCGTGCTTCGCAGAATCTACCACCGGGTCGGAAACGCGACCCACTGAAAAGATCTGGCGAGAAACTCAGTGGGCTGCCTAGTAGGTGAGCTCACCTACTAGTTAAGGTTACGCTGATATAGCCTCTCAGGGCTCTCATCTTAGGTAGGAAGTAAAAAAAAACTCCGGTTTGAGCCCTGTGAGCTCACCTACTAGTTAATGTTACGCTGAAATAGCCGCCCAGGCTATCAGCTTAGGTAGGAAAAAAAAAGTGGAGGGCATAACATGAACTAGAAATTAAAACAAAACAAAAACAAATAATTTCGTATCCGTCAGGGGACAAACACTAAGGGTCGTGATTCAGAAACGCACACTCGTTTAGCTGATTTAATACGCAACGTATGCAGCGGAGAAAGTCATTATGACTTCCTTGAATCAAGACGAGAATAAATCCTTATTAGTTCTGTTGGCGTTCGTAGCGAGCCCTTTGTTCCGTGTGCATTTCCAGGCACTTGTTGCTTTCATTGTAAACTAATAAAAGTCCGTTTGCTGAACCCACACTCGCAGGTTGATAGGAGAAGAGTTGCCACGCTGCCTATTTCTGCCGTGAAGCAGTAATGCGTTTCGGTTTGAAGGGTGGGGCAGCCGTTGTAACTATACTGATACCTTAGAACTTATATCTCAAGGTGGGTGACGCATTTACGTGGTAGATGTCTATGGGCTCCAGTAACCACTTAGCACCAGGTGGGCTGTGAATTCGTCCACCCATTTAAGCAATAAATAAAAAAAATAATAGATAAGCTCAGGGAATCAGAATGCATTCCTGAAAATAATATCTCATGTGAGAGATATCAGAATATACAAAGGACACGACCCAGATTTCCCGGAACTACTAATGAGTTCTGTGAGCCCGGACGGATCTCTGCCTCCATACTGTCCCGAAGCACTAATGCCTTCCAATTTAAAGGTCGGGGCAGCCGTTATACTTTTCAATTGTCTTAAACCTTATATCTACGTGGGCTTCGGTAACCACTTAACCACGGGAAGGCCGTGAGCTCGTTCACCCATCTAAGCGTTAAAAATAAAACAGAAATGCTTCACTATCAACCGTCCGTATAAAGTACTAAATCCAATGTTTACGTTACGTAAGAGTTCAAAAGTTAAACACATATGAAGGCGCACAGTAATCCGATGTAGGACGGGACCAAATCGTAAACTGATAATTATAAGTAGAGTGATGTTTGCGACTGATATGCATCATACTCGCTTTGTACTGGCCGCTAATCATTGAATTAATCAGCAGGACGCCACGTGCTCTGAGGAATTGTTCGAGACGATACCGGCATCTCGTTTTTACCATCGCACCGCCCGCCACCGGAGTAGAGTTCATCCATACTACCTGGAGCCGCTGCGGTCATCCACAGTGCGTTTCCAGAGATCTTTTTTGCCACGTACCATCCGGCTATGGAATGAGCTCCCCTCCACGGTGTTTCCCGAGCGCTATGACATGTTCTTCTTCAAACGAGGCTTGTGGAGAGTATTAAGCGGTAGGCAGCGGCTTGGCTCTGCCCCTGGCATTGCTGA